CCCAAACCTTCCACTTCAAATTCTTTTACTTTCAAGGCACAGCTATGTGCCTTCTGTTCAGTTACCATCAGCAGTCTACTGTATGCTTTGGTGTAGATCTATCTTGTTCCCCAGATATCACTCATGCTTCTTTTCTCCAAGTTCCCAGCCCTTTTTCTGTTTGTTTGTCTTAGCTGACCTCCTATGTACCTTCTGTAACTCCATCATGTCTTTCTTGAGATGTGTGCACCGTTTGAGGAATGCTGTTCTGTTCTTTTTCTAAGGCTATTCTCAAGTTTTTCAGGCTATAAACATCACTGTCAAGCTCCTGTTTAAGAAAATCTTTCCTGTTTCCACACTGGCTTTGTCTTACCCATGCAACTGAATGCTTCGGTGAGGTCCTTCTTGCTTTCTGCTTTAAGGCAATTACTTTACAATTTCTGACATCAGTGTTGATCCCTACTAACAAGTATTATGATGCTTTTGCCACTCTGCTAACTCAAGTATCTTTTGTCTTTGGATTCACTTTCTAGATACTATTGTTTTGCAGCAATAGGTAGATTTTCTCTTCCAGAAATTTTCACAAATTCTTCTGAAATGTCTTCTACTTTTTCTGTTGATTGTTTGCTGTCACAGCCATCCCTCTTTTTTCTGTCCCATGTGTTTCAATGGCAAGCAATATTCTGGCACCTTCCACATTACTCTAAAAAGACCAAACAGCCACTTGAATGGATTGAAAAGGTACTAATCACCTTCTCTAGAAAACTTGGTAAGGCAAGATCCTGCCTTTTGCCTCTGAAAAGCCAGGCAAGCACAAAGCTTGGACCCAGTAATGCATGGCTTAGATGGAAGCACGGATTGTTTCCCGAAATAAAAGTATGACACAGCATAGACACATTTTGTTTGGTTAATTCCAAAGAGATGGATTCTACCTTGTACTCCCCCCTCACTTATCTTGTCTTCTTGCCTTTTCATCTTCCTTTACTACTTAGACTTTTTTTTTTCCTCTCACTGACAGAAAATAGTGTTTCTTTACTGCATGCATTTACTGAGAGCAGGTAAAGGCCAGCTGTTTGTTCCTCTTTGTATATTAGTTCTAAAGTAATCTATTTGGGTCTTTGTTCAGTGGCATTTCTATGCAAATCTGTAATATGAATAGGCCATGTTTTTGACTTAGATGAAAAATTCATCTTAATCATGAATGTTGTTTCCTTGCTCTAGATGAATTCCTTCCTCTGCTTCTTCTTGTTTGCTGTGTTAATTGGTCGAAAAGAACTATTTGCTGCGTTTGGTTTCTATGACACCCAGCCTACCCTGATAGGCTTGATGATTATTTTCCAGTTCATTTTTTCACCTTACAATGAGGTAAATTGTTTTCAAAACATAGATGCTGAAGTATCATCCTATTTAAATGATGATTTTATTTTGACTGGGCGGGAAAGTGAAGTTTTATAGGGGCTCTTCCTGGTATCTCATTTCAATAAATAGGCTTAGTGCTCCATGTTGGGCAAGACTCCCAGTTTCAGGTGTGGCCTGGGTAAACCTTAGTGAGATCATTCTAAAGCCACATTGATGTGTGGATGTGGGAAGGTAGATACGGTAGTATTTACTGATACTGTAAGAAACTTGCAGAGAGCTGAATTTTAAATTATTTTTTAACATATTTCTCTTCACAGGTTCTCTCATTTTGTTTGACTGTATTAAGCCGACGATTTGAGTTTCAAGCAGATGCATTTGCCAAGGAACTTGGGAAAGCTAAAGACCTATATTCTGCTTTGATCAAGCTAAACAAAGATAATCTAGGATTCCCTGTTTCTGACTGGATCTTTTCAATGTGGCATTACTCCCATCCGCCCCTTTTAGAAAGACTTCAGGCCTTGAAAGATGCAAAGCAAGAGTGACAGGAATCATTGTTGGTTCGGAGACAGTGCTTCCATCTCAGAAGCAAAGTTCAGAGCTGCTTTTTAATTTCTTTTTAAAAATGGATAATGCCAATTAAGTGCAATGTTAACAGCACCACAGATCCGAGAATCCTGAAACAGGTATTAAATTATGAATTACTTTTTAAAACAAAAATAAAACTGTGGAACTTAAGTTAGAAAAAATACTGGATGAAGACCTTCACCCCAAACACTGGCTTTTATCTCCATATCATAGTATATAGTTGTAAAGGGAGAAAAAATTACAGACTTCAAAGCACCTATTTCTTCAGTTTGTGTATGCCTTGAGCATTGCTTTTGGTCCTTTTCCGATTCTCAGTGTTCTGTGAACTTCCCTTTGAGTGACTTGATTTCTTGTATAATAATACTTGTACTCACCAGTCACTGTTTTGAGTTTTAAAAAGCTGAATGCAAGTACAGGCCTTTCTCCTGGATTCATGTCTGTCATAATTTAAAATGCTACTTAATAAAACCTTTCTCTGAAGTGTGGGAAGAAGAATGAATTACAGCTGAGGAAATGTACTATGGCTTCCTTGAAAACGAGCATTAGTCAGTATTTAGTAGCATTATAGTGGGATTAGGCTCCTCCTCCACTGTGCTGCTGGGGGTGTGGAAGGATATTACAGAGAATCAGAACAGGATGTGTATGTTAGAGAAAGTTGCTGAGTCTCTGTTCTTTTCCCTTTTGCCTGTGAGCATAATGGTTAACAGCTTTTCCACGCCTCAGTTCCTCCATTTCTGTTGTCCTTTGGCTAAATTTTTTGTGTGTATGGAAGTGTCCAGTTGCTCAGACAGTATATCAGAGCCAAACATTAATTCTGAGGGGTTTGTCCTCCACTCCATGGAGGATTTTCCACTAATAGGAATCCAGCTGAAATAGCAGTGCTGGAATACTTTAGAAAATATTCCTTGTCGTTGTTCTGATATAAATAGCCCAAAACACAGTTTGTTCATACAGGTTAGTGATTGACAAAGTGGGTAATTGCAGAAATGGCTTCTGCATTGATTATCTCAGACTTTTCTGATGAAAGGTGGAATTAAATTCATTTTTGTTGAAATAAAGGAAAAAGTTATATATACACTTGTATGTGCCATACAAATGAATTGGACCATACTGAATGTACATACTTCATATAAAAATCAGATTTTTTTTATCTGTGGTAAATTACAGAGCTCTGTCAGCTCTGCACAAAAAGAAAAGAAGTCAAAGTAAATTCTCATTGTTTCAGATGTCAGAGTATTCTCAGAGACTTTACTGTTAGCTTAAATTTGCTTTTCTGATCATAGGGAAAAACGCCTTATGAGATGATGTCTCAAGTGCAACAAGATACAAGATGTTGCTGGAAGCCCTTTGTATGCCTTATTCTAAGTGTGTTTATACCCTAGCAAATATGAAGCTATACTGTAGATATGGACTTAGGAGACAGTTTTACAAATATGGGGAGCCTATATTTGTCATGTTAACTGCATTTAATAAATGACCCTCAAAAATAAAATGATTAACTTAAATCTGTCAATTCAGTAGAGTAAATAAATGTATCGGGTTTTGAGTTGGTTGGTGTAAACCTATGGAAAACATGTTAAATGTGCTCTGAGAAAACCATTTGTCTCACCCCTTAGGTAAAACATATACTCAAAAATTAATTCTGTGGCTATTTCAGAAATTTGGCTAAATGCAAACAAAAGTAGAATAAAGCGGGATAATGAAGGAAATTCCAGTTCCTATGGAAGCATGAAATACTTTAAAATACTTAGGCTTATGGGCAAAGCTGGTGTTGTTATGGCAATTGCCTGTTGCTTCCTTTTCTTCCCTGTCACTGTTTGGAGTTGATCTCTGCAGTTTTCCCAGGTGGATTTAATCATCTAATTCCTCTCCGCTCTAGTTGCTTCTCAGTGCTGGCATTGTCCACATATTGCTATGCAGACATCTGGAATGCATGAGTTACATGTTGCAGCCTCTAGTTGCTTTCTGTGTTCCTGAGAATGGTCGAAATCACACCTAAATCTTTCTGTGCAGCTGCTGCCTTCCCAGGTATCTAAATCCTCCCGCAGTGTCCACACAGCCACGTGACCAGCAAATACAAACCAGTTTGATGACAAGGTATGTCTATCAGGATTGGCCACACATCCTTTGATTAATGTCCAGTTTTGAGGAGGCAAGAAAATTCTCTTGTTGAGTGGGCTTTTGTTTTCTGTTACCTTTAGCTAATAAAGTTCAAATATTCAAGGCAAGGGAACCCAGAGCAGAACATCACTGGTGGTACACTCCGCAAAGGCATCCGTGGGACTGGTGGGCACTGATCAGCAGTGTCCTACCCAAAGGCTGATCCCTCCAGCTTCCCATTCCCTGCTTCACCAGCTTTTTTTGGTGCTCTGAGTAGCGGCTGGAGAGAAGACATAGCATGGAAAAGTCCTGGACCATGGAAGGAGACAGCAGTACTAAAATTGAACTGCTTTATGGAAATACGCACAAACATTTCAGCAGTCTTGGCATGTTTCAAGGGTCTCCACGAGTTGTGCTGTGGACATACTTGCATCCACACAGGACTGCTCTGGCCACAGGGCTTCTCACTTTCCTTGGTTGCCAGTAGGTCCTGCCACTTTGTCTCTGGAATAAATGTGTAGGCAGGGAGACTGGAAGATACGCGTGCACAGGTACACTCGTCTGATAGCATGCAAGTGAGCTGATGTGCAGTTTCAGCTTGCTAAAGCGATCTAATGGAGACAGGTAGGAGACTTGCAGGACGCAGACATGGTAACGAGCTTTGTGAGGCCAGGGGAGTATCGGGAGGCTCCCCTGGGACATGCCTGAGATAAAAGTAATAAATCGTTAACTCAAGGCGTAGGAAGGGCGAGGGGTGGAGGAGGGAGGCCCGAGACCCAGCTCCTGCGGCCTCTCGCCGCTGACATCCCCGCCACCACTCCAGGAGCTGCCGCTCACGGTGGCAGCGCGGGCCGCGGGTCGCCGACGGCGGGTGGCCGACGGCGCGAGCGCCTGGTGCGCGCGCGCGCGCCGCGGCCCGGAAGTGACGGCGAGAGGCGGCGGCGGCGCGCCGGCGGGTCTCCTTTGTGCGGCGCGGCGCGGCCGGGGCGATGCTGTCGGGGGGGAAGAAGGCCGCGGAGGCGGCGGCGGGCGGCGAGGGCGGACCTGAGGCGCCAGTGCCTCCGCCCGCCGCCGCGGGGGCCCTGGGCCCCTCTGCCGAGGGCGGCGGGGCCGCGGAACGCACTCCCCGCAAGAAGGAGCCTCCGCGGGCCTCGCCCCCGGGCGGCCTGTCCGAGCCGCCGGCCGCCGGTGCCGCCCCTGCACCCGGCGCCGAAACCACTGGCATCGCCGAGACCCCCGAGGGTCGCAGGACTAGCCGCCGCAAGCGGGCCAAAGTAGGTGTGGGGGGGCTCGGGCTACGGGCCCGGGCCTGCCAGACCCCGCTGGCTCGGGGGCGCGGCCGGAGCGGGGGTCTGGGGGGCGGCGCGGCCTAGGGCGGGACGTGCCACAGCCCTGCTAGGGGCAGCTCACTGCGCCCGGACCGGTTCTCTGGGAGGGGGTCCGTGGGGCGGGCGACGGGCCGGGGACCCCTCGACCGCTCCGTGTCTGGAGGGCGCAGGGCTGAGCAGCCTCCCGGCCCGGTTGGGCTTTACCGGGCGGCGCTGGGGTGCGGGGTGCGGGTTGTGCCGCGGGGAGGCGAGTCCTCGTCCGGGATAGACATGCGGCCAGCTAATGCGGATTAAGGGCTCGTATTGTCAGAGCTTACCTTCATAAGGTCTGGGGAGAACTCATGGACTTTCACAAAGGAGAACGGTCTGCAGCAGTCCTTGGAACCTTGTAGGGCTTCCTGGTCAGATACTGAGCAGTAAAAAACCCACCAGAAACACCTTAGCATTACCTCTGAGCTCTTACGATCTCGTATTTTCACGAGTACATTCATGTTGTTACTAGGGATATACAGATGCAGCACATTCATGTTGTTACTAGGGTTATATAGATGCAGCTTCTCTTGATGCTTATGTGCATGGAATGATGCTAGTTTTGCAAGGTTATACAGGTGATGGACCCACTCAGTTCACTGTTCTTCAGTTCCCTGTTGGAGAGTTGAGACACTGCTGTGTTACGGGTGAGATAATCTAAAGGCCATAAACAGCTTCCATTAATTTGGGCCTGTGGTATATAATGCTCGTATGTTCTGAACATCTGAGAATGTTACCTTTCTTTTGTGAAACTCTTTCTTGGAAACCCTATTGCAGGAGACTTTGAAGATCTTGGCTGTGCCCAGAGCTGATTGTGCTTGATATGGAAACTAAAATTACTTTTAGGCTCTCTGTCCGTTGTACTGTAGCTGTGGCATTGAATGTCTTGCTCTTCAGACCTCTTACATGACGTGGTAGCTGGACTCATCCTTTGCATATAGGAACTGCTGAGTAGATCGGGCTGGTGCATCTTTTAAACTGAAAGAGGGTAGACTGGATATAAGGAAGAAAGTTTTTACCATGAAAGTGGTGAGGCACTGGCACAGGGTGCCCAGAGAAGCTGTGGCTGCCCCCTTCCTGTAAGGGTTCAAGGCCAGGTTGGACAGGGCTGGGAGCCCCCTGGGCTGGGGGAAGGGGGCCCTGCCCATGGCAGGGGGGTTGGAACTCAATGATATTTAAGGTCCCTTCCAACTCAAACCATCCTGTGCTTCTGTGATCTTCAGAGGCAGCATACCTGGTGTTTACTTGCTTTATAGTGATCTGTTAACAAGAAGGAATTAGGGCACTATCTGTGGGTTGGTTCTTGGTGATGTTTCTCTGCATTGACAATTCCTGTTTGCTAAAGGTGTTAATCTCTTTTAACACAGTGTATCCCCATAATCAGTTCAGGCTAGCACAAAGTTGCCTTACTGTGAACTGTGGTGTGAACTCAAATGGGGAGGCTATCCAAGTTAAAAATAAACCTAGGGAAAAGCTCAGCGTTTTAATGGACTTGATTGTTCTCTGAAAGTTGTGCAAGCTTGAGGAGGATGGGAAACTTCAGAGGGCGTTAGCACAGAACTCCTTTATATTGGTTTCAAATACCTGTGATACTACACTTATGATGCTATAGGATCACTGCAACTTGCTTCAGAGTGGAAGTTCACAGAAGATCCTGGAGGTGCAATATTTGCTCAACAGTGTGAAAAACTGAATGTGCTGGGCAAGATAGAGTGTAAATATTTGGAAGAGAACAGATCATGGAGTGTGTGTTAGTGTTTTACTGAATTTAGACTTTCCTGTACATGAGCTTCACAATGCTACTTTGAATTGTGCCAGTTACTGCCCTTTCTTAATAACTGAACTCTTAACTGTGGAAGATTTGTCATTCTTTTGATGAGAAATGCAGAGTTGCTTTTGTCATCTCATGGTAGGAGCTGGCCTGTAGGGTGTTGGAGGATCAGTAGCTGCTTTCTTTTTATTTTTCTCATGGCTGCATATTATAAGTGCTTTTTTCCCTTCCAGTAGGTAGGGAAATTAAATAACAAAGCTTTCTTACTTTGGAAAAAGGCTTGGTTTATTAAACACTGAGATGCATCCCATCTAGGTTATTTCTTGAGGTTTCCCTGTTTCTTTAAGTTGAATCAAGTCTTTTTGCTGGCAGTATTATTTATTTTTGCTAGAGAACAGAACAAAACATGGCAATATATGGCAATAAAGATTTTTCTGTTGAGTCACTAGTGTGACCACCCTGGAGAAGAGGTAAATGTGATCCTCTGTATCAGGGCAAGATTTCCAGTAAATGGGACGCTATCTGTGCAAGATACATCTTTGTACAGGACACGGGTGGGATTTCCTCAGGAAATCTTTTGTGCAGTTCTGGTCCCCCGTGTTTGATAGATAAATTCAAGTTGGAACATATGGATTGGATACAGAGGCAATTAGTTATCCCTGAGTTTGACAAGAAGGTGAAGAAAGGGAAGAAAACTAGAGAGGTTAAATGATGGTATAACAAATAAACATGAACCGGTCTTTATATGAGTAAAAAGTTCCTATTACTGGACAAGTTGGGTGCTGAAGAAATTTTTCTTTAGTGGAGGTAGAGATATGGAAGTTGTTAAGCTGCTGAACATTTTATAACAGGGTAGCTGTAATAAGACTCAACAAGGTAACTCAGGTCTTTTCTAAGCAATTTTGTTGCTTGCAGTGTTCATTTCAGTAGTGAGACTTACAGGTATCTTCAGTGTGTTTATCCTCTGTTGTGCTTTTTACAGGTGGAGTATAGAGAGATGGATGAGAGTCTTGCAAACCTGTCAGAAGATGAATATTACTCTGAAGAAGAGAGAAATGCTAAAGCTGAGAAAGAGAAAAAACTACCACCACCACCTCCACCAGCTCCTGCAGAAGAAGAGAATGAAAGTGAGCCGGAGGAGCCATCTGGTAAGTAAAGTGAGACCTTCTTCTCTGATACCACTTACCTGTTTTATTGCCAGAAATTAAGCTGGGTCAGGTGCAGCATTATGAATCCTGTATCTGGTTTTGAATGATTGCAGTCTTTGCTGGCCCCATATGTGGAAGGAGGGGAAAAATGCAGAAGAGCAGCCTGATAAAGATGGGAATAAGCATGATCTAATTTCAGATGAAGCCAAACCTCTCGTACTAGATTTTTGTGATCCTTACTGACTTGTCTTTGGAAGCTTATTGACCAGAATAGCTTCTCTGGCACTTAGCTGCTGCACCTGCTTGTGCACCAACATTCACTTATTCATTTGAGAGAAAATAGGTTAGATTTACTGGGGTGGTTGCTATGCAGGAGAACAGATTTAATCAACATTGATTCCTGTGGCTTTAAACTATGACTCTACTCTTAAATTCTGATTGGATACTGTTTGCTTAAACTTCAGTGCTTTTCTCATTACATTTGACAGAGTTGTAAAGCTTCACTTTACATTGGGAAGTTTTTTAGTCAGTCATGTTCAAGAAGCAACTTCTGAAATTCATGAGACTAGCAGTACCCTATTCATTCCTTACCTCTGCTGTGTTTACAGCTACCACCGTTAGTTAGGTCTGGTGTTGGTGTATCACTCTACTAGCTACAAAATGATGCTTTTGCAAAATTTAGCTGTTGGAGAGATTTTACAAGGTGATGTGTGTGCGGGTTGGTTTTAGACAATAGCTGAAATCTAGTAGTTGAACTTTTGCTGATTCATCGCTGATGTGAATAACTGTTAGTCTTCAGTTCTACTACTCTTAATTGGCTTCTTTTTGGCTGGCAGGTTTGAGAATGTGAACTATAGGAGGACTGATGTCAGTTTGGGGATACTTACCTTCAGTTTCAGAAAATATATTAAAAACCAACAGTTGTATTTTATCTCTTAGGATTTGTCCCTGTAATCTCTCCTCAGTTGTAGCTGTTGGCTTCTGGCTTGATACAGGAATACTATAACTCATACACTTGACTGAAATATTGCAATGATAAAAATCCTCTGGGCCCCTAATTGTAGCTCATCTATCAAAAATGGAATTTTAATAGTTGTAATTATGCAAGTATCTTAAGTTTACTATTTAATTTAGTTTAGACTTTGAGTTTAATCCTTGAGACCTAGTATTAATATACTTTTGATATTTCTCAGATGCCATTTTGTACATCTAAGAGTGACTACTGAAATCAGTTTGAGGCATAATCAGTGAAGTACAGTGTTTTATCCCTTGAAGGAAGAAATTTGGAAGATATGCGGTGATGGACTTATGCTATTCTATACACACAGCAGTCTGTTAAGCATTTCATTAAGCTGTTAAAATGTATTGAAACTTCTCATTCAAACAGTTGTTAGGAGGAAGAGGCATGGAGTTATCTGTGTACAGAAGCAATGTTTATAATTGAGGTTTTCTCTGTCACTTCTTTGAAGCAAAATTAAAAAAGTTTAATAAATACTAAATAGGACAGTAATACTAGAGCAGGATTGCATATTGAAAATTTAAAAAAATGTAAAACATTAGCTTGTGTATTACTGTTAATTTATTCTCATTGCAGACCTTAATAATTTCCTTTGTAAGTTTAAAGCCTGCAAAGACATAGGTAATGCAGTAGAGGTGTTAAGCTGTCATGGTACCATATTTTGTGTTGGAAAGTCTGACTGTGCAAACTTAAAAATGTAATAGTGACAATAGCTGGTATTTCATTAGTCTGTCCTCAGGGACAGTTTACAGCAGGAGGGGGTTATTAAGTATCACACTTCAGGAGACAGCGAAATACTGGTCTTATATGGGATGGGTTCCATCAGTGTGTTCAGCTGTGGGGAATTCCACATGTTTTGACTACACAGATTGTTATAGTCTGGATTTGCAAGATGTAGTGCATGTTATTGCAGAGCAGTTTTAAAATGTGTAACAGTATTTCATGAGTAAAACAATTTCCTTAAAGTATCTTTCCTCTTTTTTATTTGAAAAATATTGTCTGATAGCATAATGCTTCCAAACTCACTTTTAGTGCTGAATGACATTTTTGTTCTTTTTTGCCAATATCCCTTTTGAAATTAAGGAGCTTGCTGCTTTTGTTTTTCTCCCCTAAGGATCTTTTTTGTTTACCCTCACAAAATTGGATTTTTGTTTTTATAACTTCCTGAAGATTTTCTTTACCAGCTCCTGTCTTTTTAGTTTTGTCAGTATTCTTACTTTGTGGTAATCTTACGTTTCTAGCTGCTGTTTTCCAAGAAAGTGTGAGACTAAATACAATCCAGATTAACATCAAGTAAATAGTCAATCTTTGTGGTGCTCTGTCTCTGTCTTTCATCCAATTTGTCCATTTTACTAATTAAATTCAGTACTTAGTGGTAATTCTGTGCTGCTATTCTTTATTTTAAAACAGTGGATGATTGTATAAAGAGGATTCCTTTGTAGACATTCTTCCTGATTGCTGTTCAGATCAGGGTCTGTTATTCTGTTGCCTTGATATTTTCAGCAGGGTCTGCTCCTGCACATATGTTATATTCAGCTGCAATAATTTGATGTTAACATGGATCAGCAGATTGCTTGTTGCTTTGTTCCTTTGCAGCTGGAACGTGACTTTCTTATGGGGAAGGAGGGGCAAGCAGCACTAGCAGGCCTTGTTTCATACTTCTGTAGTCAGACTGGATATCATTTAGAATTGTGTCCAAACACACAGTAATAGTAATGCTTTTTTTGGACCTAACAATGAAAATGGTTTAGCTGTTATTAACAAGAGAGGGAAATACTGATTTATTTTTTGTAAGTAAACCAAGAGCAACTTTGTCCCCTGTACTCATTGTCAGTGCTATTTCAGGGATAATGAATGCCACAGGCTGATTTCAGCATCTTTTCAATTTCTTAACTTAGGGAAGGCACAAGTGTAACTTTTCCTCAAATGTAAATATTTATGTTTAAGTTGTGTTAGTCTCTCCCAGAATGGAAGCAGGTCTTGTAATGTTCCCAGCAAAATAAAGTACTTACAGTGTAGGTGAAGTGAGGAATTTTCTCTTGCTATTGCAGACACATATGTTCATAGAATCCTGACTCTGGGACTTCTGAGGCCTGTCAAAATACAGTTATTTGTCACGGTCTCTCTTGTGAGTTTCTGAACCTTCCCTGCTGGTAGACTGATTATATAAAAGTACTGCCTATTGCTCTTCTACTGTAGTTGAGTGAAAATGTCCATCTTGTTTCAGTTCCTATTTTATCTGTAGATGTGTAATGTTACAGCATTCCAGATGTTAATCCAGGTTATTGAAGTATGAAAGCATTCGGTTTACTATCTATGTCTTGCTTTAGGGGTTAAATTTGTAGTTCAGATGAAATTCTTTTAAGTTAGTGTATCCCTCAAGAGCCTCAGATTGCGCTCTGGCAAAATTGTCCACCCGATCCCAAACTCTAGAGAGTAATCTTAACAATTGTGTGCTCAGCTTCAGGTCAGAATTTACTCTTGCCTGTTTGGAGATGACACCTTGAGCAGTTGTGCTCTAGGAAGTGACTGTGCCATTTGCTACCTTGACCTCAGCAGTTTGTTTCAGTGGGGGTTTGTTTGAACTTTAGAAAACATGCAATTTGCTGACTATAGGTGCACTTGGTTTAAAGGAGCTTTGATACAGGAGCATCTGGCCAAACAGCACGCAGCTGTACCTGTAGTGTTCCACAGCTTCCTGCTCTCTGGAGGTGATGACTTCAGGCAAACATCTGACTGTGGAAGAATATCGCTTACAAGCTGAGCTTGGAGCTAGTGTCTCCTGTAGAGATTAGCAGTGTGTGAAATGACCGATACTAGCTTTGTTCCTGCAGACATTGCAGCTGTGCTCATCTCTGTTCTATAAATGCTCTGTTTCTGGTTGTGTTGTGTTCCTGTGAAGGCTGCTATTTGGGATTTACAGGCAGGCTAAGGTAATTTTGAGACTTCTTCAGATCTTTGAGACGGAAGCTTTGCCTTTCCTTTTGTTTCCAGCCCTGGATATGTTGAAAGACTTACGTCTTTCAGTGCTGGGTATTGAGCACATTACTGATCAATGGTATTGATGTGTATTTGGCTTCAAAGGTGGTCTTAGTATGTTAGAACATTGTTGGTGTATCAAGGGCGCTGAAGCCAAAAGAAGTGGTCTGAGCCTTTAAAAAAAGTTGCATCATCAAGCTTCAAGGAAGGGTTTATGGCAAAAAAAAAAAAAAGGCTGTCTTGAAAGTAAAAGGCTTTTCAGAACAGTTCAAACTGTCCCCTTGCATATGGGGAGACTTGCAACTACCAAGGGCAAGATAATCAAATCCTTATGGTTTGAGATCCATAGAATCTGATGGTATCTATTCACCAGATCTTGGCAGTAAGAAATGTAATCTTACTCAAATCCTAGCCATTAATGAAGTTGATCATAAATATTTAGCCACTAGGAATGCTATATATTGTGTACTTCTTTATTTCCCATAACGTCTGATGTAAAGCGTTCCAGTAACTCGGGTAACACTTTAGAAGACCACAGAGTTTGGTGCCCTGAACCTAGGTTCCAGAAGATGGGTTTCTCAGAAAACGGGTTTAGTTAGTTGGTGAAGTTTAATACCTAAAACTCCAACTGCCGGGCCTTTATGTCCAATATGGTTTAACTTATGGAGTAAGGTCCCTGAGTTCTCCTCTTTCCTTCCACAGGGCAAGCAGGAGGACTTCAAGACGACAATTCTGGAGGGTATGGAGACGGCCAAGCATCAGGTGAGGGTGGCGTTTGATGCTTGCCACTTAGTAGCAAGAGCCGCCAAGATAGGGATTGATGCTTGCACGTGCGCATGGGTGTGATGGTCCAGCATTTAGCAAGAGTTACAGGAGTTGTTTACCCACCTGTTAAAAAAGTGAGGGGTATTCTCAAGTTTCAGTTGAGGTCTGTACCAACTGCAGAAAAGGACTCTAACCTCTGTTGCAATGCCTCAGGCCGATCTCTCATCCCTCCACTCCTCTCCATGTTCAGAGGAGTCCAAACATGCAAAAAGATATTTCTTACCTAGACAGTTTCTACCACCTAGAATGCCACAGAAAGACTTGGGCTTCAGCACAGTAGAACTTTTTTCTAATTTGCTGAAGAAACATAACGTGGAGTACCTTTATGCTCCTTCATTTTGTTTTTTCTTCTGAAAGGGTTTGTGTTTGAGCTGTGTGCCAGTGGTTAGCCCAGGAGACTTATCTGTTGGGGGGATACATAGTCTGCTTCTCAGTGGACTGGATTGTGAATTGCATTCACCATTTGACCTCAGTACTGATGATAGCAGTATGCACTTACTGCTTAATTCAAAGAATTGGTGTCTTTACTCTTAAGTACTTCAAGTGCTACTGGAAGTCTTCCTCCAACTCTGCCATGTTTACTCTCATTTGAGGACTGAGAATTAGGGCTTTAAGCAAAGTAGAAGGCTCCAGAACCTATTCTGTACCTCCAAGTTGCTCTTTTTGAAGCAAACATAACTTCAAGATACTAATCTGAGAGTGCATCCTTGTTGTTCCAAGTAAAGGAGCCTTGTTATGTTTTGGATCTTACCACTTTCACAGAATTTCTGCCTATTATAGATTGTGGACTTAAGGATGCATTGCCTATTTCATTTTTAGACAGACATTGGCTGTATGGAAATTCTGCATATTTTGCATTTAATATACATGCTGAGGGTATGTTTTAGCAGTTGTCAAGTTCAGCAGCTGAACACTCCTTTGGAGTGTTTTTCATTTGCAGATGTTTTAGTAGGTCTTTAAATGAGCAGCATCCTACAAGATTTCTTCTGTGTGGAAGAAGATAATAAAAATGTCAGCACATTCATTGCTGATGCTGAAAGTCAGGAAGGGACAAGTGTGTGTATAAATGTGTGTGAAGAGGAGATGAGAATCCAGCCTAGACAGACCCATTCCTGCAGTCATTAAAGAGTTGCCTGCCCCAGGGAAAGTGTGTGTAGTTCTAAACTGCTACTCCCTTTAATGTGTTGCTTTCATGAAACACAAACAGTAAGGGTGTGGGATGAAGGGGATTTAATCAGCCTAAAATTGGTCTAACTTTGAGTTGTGTAGTTGTAGAAATAAATTCAGGGACATTTAGTTCTTACAAGATCTTCCAGTGGTTGGGCCAAATCTTCGCTAATAACAGCTAGGCTTTTTCTAAATTCTGGTGTCAGACCCAGTTCTTTGGGTTTTTTCCCTAAATACCAGTGCTTATCCGAAGCTATTCTGACATTTTAGTTTTAAAGTTTGGGTATTGCCATAAAAGACATGTGGCCTTAAAAAAACAGCAAAAAAACCCCCTCCACCCTGGGGTACTTTCCAAGGCTGTTAGGAGTGCCAGTTTCTGTGGGTTCTCAATTTGAAGTCAGAAAGCTTTCCAAGAAACAGGCGAGTTGCTTTAAATGCACATGTCTGAGAGTTTCCTGGTAGTTGATCACTGCATGACAGTCAATGCTTTTTAGCAATTATCTGGAAGAGGCACACTCATTTTAGCATAAGCCTGTAAGAGGGAGTCAGGTTCAGCATTTCAAATCTTTAACTGGCCATTCTCTGAGAATTGTACTGCTGAGCTTTTTGCTAACACTTGATGATCTAGAACCTTGATTAAGATTTGTTAACATTAATAAAGTATCAGGTAATTGGTAACTTTGGTTTGATTTACATGCACAGTCTTAGAGAGTTCATAGTTGAGCATTTGCATTTGTATGTAGATGTTTGCACAGTTGGTCCAGTGTTAGACTAAAGGACAACAAAAGGGCTGGGGGATGTTTATTACTGGAGAAGCTGAAGTAGAGCTATGGGTTTCTTGTCCATAGCTGAATATTACTGTCAGGAAGCATTGTGGGTGTATCAACTTTTCCTATTGTTAATTAAATTTTACCTTCTTGCAGTGCTTTGTAGCCTCTGTTACTAATTTCCTCCTGTTGTAAAAGTCCTGTAAATGATTATAGACAGTTTTCTTTACCTAGAGTCATCACACAGTTAGAACTTCTAATCTTTGCTCGTGAATGAATTTTGTTTGGCTTCACAACCATTTCCCTGCTTAAATTTTTTTCTTCACCCTTGGGATGTAAAAATGCTTGGAAGTTAAAGGTGTGTGTGGTTGCATCAGAACTGAAAGAAGAGAATTCCTCTCCACAATGATGACATGTGTACCTCTGCACATGAACTTCAAACTTTCAAACAGTTGTCTTGGTTAGTGTAACACACTGCAAGCTTACGTTTTCTTCGATATTTATTACAATCTTTTGAACAATTACAGTTTCAGCAAATAATCTTAATCTTACTGCAATACTTGTGTTTTTTTTCCCTTTGGGATCTATTGGCTTATATCTTTCCAGATTTGAATATCCTCTCCTCTCTCTGTCCTGATCTTGACTCACTTCCTAGGACATGCAAGATTTGTATTGTTCTTGCTGTATTTCACATCTCAGTATTTCATTTTGCTCACTGTGCCTGCAAGATTCTCTTTCTGCACTCTACTCGTGCTGTAGCACTTTATGCAGCTGTGTCTTGATTTGTTACTTTATATACAGTATAACATTCAAATGAGATTGAGGATTGTAGAGTATGTAGCTATTATTTGTTGCCAGTGTTTGAATTGATAGAAGTATAGGTGCCTTTATGAAGTCTTTCCATAGAGAAAATGTCTCCTGTATATGTTTAACATTAGTCTTTTACATGTGGAGCATTTAAAAGGAAAAGTAAGGAACCTGTAGTTGTTGATTGTAGGCAGCACTTGGGGAGGAAACACAGGAAAAGCATAACTAGGATTGTATTTCATTGCACTGCCTGTTGTGAATATATGAAATCTGCAAAAAGAGAGGTTAAGATAGGCTCCTCTAGCTTGAGGAGTTCAGCACAAATGAAACCTTGAAAAGCAGGTGAGAGGAAACTATAGGCATTGTGTTTGTGTCTTACAGATCTTTTGGCTCTGAAGGGGTTCCAAAATGTTTTTCATATTCTGGCAGAAACTGGAAACCACACAAATGAAGGACAGCATCTAAAACAGTTATATTTTATTGCTGTTATGTTATATATACTATATATTATATTATATATTATATTAATATAGGCCCCTGCCCCCCTTATTTTTTAATTCCCCCTGGCCCCATAGTATAGCTTTTTCACTAAACCTAGATGATACATGTAATTCAAAGAACTGTTGATTTGGGAACCTGCATGTCTTGCAGAAGTAAATAAAAGGACTAAATGAAAGCATGACATGAAATTGGCTACCATATCACCTCATGGCTAGATGCACTGGCTAGGAAGGGTAGTGTCAAAATACTTATTTAACAGTTCCTTTTGCAGTGCCTGTAGACAACTTGTCTTTTTATTGTAGGTGTGGAGGGTGCAGCTTTCCAGAGTAGACTTCCACATGACCGTATGACATCTCAAGAAGCTGCCTGCTTCCCTGATATAATCAGTGGGCCACAGCAGACTCAGAAGGTGTTTCTGTACATCAGGAACCGCACCGTAAGTTTATTGTAAAAGTATTGATGAAAAAAGGGTAGGATATTTGTGTACCTTGCAAAGATTTCTGGCAGTTATCATGTCTAACAGTTGGTAGATTTTTTGGTTTTGAGACAGTGGGATTTAATTTCTTGCTCTAAGTTGCTAAGGAAGGTGTTATCCAAGCTCTTGATTGAGGCAATGCTGCAAGGCAGCATAAAGAATCTGTAGTATATTTACAATATCTAAAACACAGTCATAACAACCATCAAAACTACATGATTCAGCTAATACAGCTTTTCATTTAGTTAATGAAACTCTGCTTCTGAATGTATCATTTTTGCCTGATTCAAAACTTCCATGCAACTTAAAATACATAAAGAAGGGGCAATGTTCAAGTAATTAATCTGGGAGCTCATTCACTTGAGGTCAGACAAGCATGCCTGAAGTTTAAACCTTAATAAAACTTAAGCAGTAGTATTGTGTTTTGCAGATGATGCTTTTAAACTATGACAATGCTTTTAGGTTCCTCAACATACGAACAGGGTCCAGGGCTTTCTTGTGTGCTTAGAAAAGAGTGTTTTAGAAAACTTTTAAGTCATGTTAGAAAAATTAACAGTCGGAAGACAAGATATATTTTGAAAATTGCTTTGTTGCCATAGTTAAGAGAGAAGACACCTTATGCACCAATCAGTTTTCTTCGCAGACTTAAGGTGATCAATTGACATCACAACATATTAACCGTAGTAGCACCCAGTGCTTAAGAACTTTAAAAAGTTATTTGAAATTTATTCATGGCGGACATCTTCATGCTAAGAGAGTGACTTCTGCTATTCCTGTGAAATCTCTGTCTAATTAACCTAAGTTTTAACTTTTTGGAAGTCATGAGATGTGTAAAAACAGACCAAGGCAAGCCAAATAGTTTGAAAAACAGTTTGCTTAAAATGTGTAGTGAATAATCCTTCTACAAATTCATTAGAAGCAGAAGAGCCTTCCACTAAAACTAATAAATGACTGGGATTTAAAGGAATGCTTGGAAGGGGTGTTTGCATGATTGCACTAGAAAAGCTGCATTGCTGCTCTTTGGTCCTTATTAACTATGGAGGAAATTAGAGAAGTTCCTAAGCAGGAATCCCTTTCCGTGAAAGACTTGTGAGAGGATCCCCTCCAGTCAGAATATCAGAGGTTCTAGAACAGGAGATGAAGCAAATGGTAATACAAACCCGGTGGTCAGTAGAGCTCTGGAAGAGCTGTGCACTGCAGTGTGCATCCTCTTACTTACAGCTGGCACAGTACCAAGGGATTTGAAAATATAGAAGAGGGCATGAACACCCAGAGTTCCTGGGGGTTAGAGGAGTCAGACTAGTAAATCTGATATTTCCAATTTGCCTGGTAGCAAATGTAATTTGTTGGAATTGAATGAATAACCTGGTAAGTAAAAACATATTTTGGAGGGCTCACAGTAGCTTTTATAAAGGGGATTCGTCATTTACAGTCCAACTGAGTTCTTCTAAGGACTCATGAGAAGGTGAACAAAGGAGATCCACTTCTTGTGGTCTTCTGCATAAAATCGTTCTGCCCTAAAACAAACAAAAAAAAAACAAAACCAACCAATTAAAAGAAAAAACCCAAAACAGTAAAAGTTCGTGCTAAATTACTATTGGTTAAAGCAGATCATGAAAATTTGCAAAGCAGAATGTAGGATAAGTGATCTGTTGTGGCAGTGCTGGGCAGTTGTGGTTTGAAGCCTTTAAAATCTTTTAAGGCATGCACTGTTCTGTGTATTCATAAAGGGTCTAAAAATCAAAATTTGTAAATAAATGGTCATTTGCTGCACATATGAAGTTATTTTAGGTAGTAAAATGAGGACTACAAAAACTACAAAAATTGAAGTCTCTCACGAGTAACTGGGTGTTAACAAAGCAGATTAAATAAAAGTAAACTAATGTGAATAATGAAAGTAATTGTGTATATATATGTAAATACAGAAGTATATATACATACATAGAGATGAACCTTATGCAGTTCAGCAAGGACAAGTGTAAGGTCTTGCACATGGGAAAACATAATCCAGGAGTGCAGCACAGGCTGGGATCTGCCTGGCTGGGGAGCAGCTCTGGGGAAAGGGACCTGGGGGTCCTGGTGGACAACAAGCTCAATATGAGACCAGTGTGCTGCTGCGGCAAAGGTCAGTGGGGTGTTGGGCTGCATCAGCAAGGGCATCACCAGCAGAGATAAAGAAGTCGTTATCCCACACTACTCAGTGCTTGTCAGGCCACACCTGAAATAGTGTGTTCAGTTCTGGTCCCCACTCTACAAAAAAGATGTGGACAGGCCAGAGGGGGTCCAGAGGAGAGCCAGAAAGATGATCAAAGGGCTGGGAAGCCTGCCATGTGAGGAAGGGTTGAGAGAATTGGGTTTGTTCAGCCTTGAGAAGAGGAGGCTTAGGGTAGACCTTATCACCATGATCCAGTATTTAAAGGGTGGCTACAGAGATGGAGACTCCTTTTTTACAAGGAGTCATGTGGAAAACATGAAGGGTAATGGGTACAGTTTACTCCTGGGGAGATTCTGATTGGAAACAAAAGAAAATTTTTCACAATGAGAACAATCAGCCAGTGAAATAATTTCCCCAAGGAAGTGGTAGATTCCCCAACATTGGACACTTCTAAGGTTTGTCTGGATGGGGTGCTGGGCCATCTTGTCCAGACCATGCTTTTGCCGAGAAAGGTTGGACCAGATGATCCTTGATGTCCTGTCCAACCTGGTATTCTATGATAGTGATTTACATATGCAGATTTTGGGCTTTGCACTCTTCCAGTTGAGAATGGAATCTTAGCATTACAGTATGTAGTACTATGAAATGGTTAGTTCCACACTCAGAAAATTAAATGTTAAAAATTACTTGCAGAATCAGTAGAAGAAAGTTCTATGCTAAAGATGAAATTTGCCTCAAATGGCCTCCCAAATTATATGGAGAAGCTTAATCTTTCCTATTCATTATACTTGTATGGTTTCCACTTTAATTTGATATCTGTGAGGAGCTGTGAAGTTCAGTAATGCAATAGTAGAGAAATACCCAAGTAAATTACTAATTCTGAAATGTAAAATGGTGTGGAGATGCTATGCATGACATAGATCTAGACATTGAACATTCAAATGTTATTTATTAACTTGCCGTCCATGCCATGAAGTAGGAGTTCTGTTGGGAAAACAGTTCTGATTCTGTTATTCTGTGTTTTTCTTATAGCATTAAGTGACATACTCCACAGGCAGCTCTTCCTGCTTGGTTTTTGAACTGAAACTGACCTCTAAATGTTCTTGTGCATACATGACCAGTGTAGTCCATGGTAGTGGCTTGTATCAGTGAAGATGGATTAGATGATTAAAGGTCTGAGATAAATAAACTTCATAAGCTGATTAGTACTTCTGTAGCTTTTTCAAAATTAATGCGAAACTTGATGCTGAAACGTCAGTTGCTGGCTGATGCTGCATGCCCAATTAGAATATCGCACATATCACACTTGCTGTGCAGCTGGAATGGAGGCTGTACGTATAAGCATTCTGGTGCTTCCATTTTGTAGATTTTGTTCTTTCAGTGTATGTTTTCTTCTATGTGTGATTAAGAGATTTCTAACTTGATGCATTTCTAGTTATTTGCAATAGTGTAGGAAGTTAAAATTGACTGTACTGCACCTTCAAGAACATTGGAATGTGAAGTTCAGCGTGACTTGGGTAGCACTTCCAAAGTTTAACTCAGAGGGTTTCATCTCCTAACAGTATTTGGTAACAAACACACGGAAAGCACTTGTTTTGTATTGCTGAATGTAATGTGTCTTACTGTTTGTTTAAATACAGCTACAACTCTGGTTGGATAACCCAAAGATTCAGTTAACATTTGAGGCAACTATCCAACAACTAGAAGCACCTTATAATAGTAAGTCAAGTCTTTTGCTGTACATACCATTGCTATTTTTCAGTTGGTTGGGGAAAAGCTGCTCTGAATCCAGAGAGGACTTCAGATGGGTCCTTTTGTTAGTGGAGCTCCCTGAGTGTTCATGTACAGAATGGGATATTGCAGTATGCTTATATTTCGGGTTGTTAGAGTTCATTTTTCTGGTAAAGAAATATATCCCTAGCAGAATTCAAAAAAGCTGGTAAAAAGATGGATTGTTACAGAAGTTTCCTGTGAGTGAATTCACCTGCAGCTTTTAAGGTTTGCTGTAACTTAGTGGTGGTTTGCTGCTGTGAGATTTTTCTTAATCATAAGGTTTCTGGGAGACATTAAGAAGTTGCATAAGACTTGAACAGACTGGCCATGATGAAAGAAAGCAGTAAAAGAGTGAGGAGCTACTACTTGCAAATGTAGGCCATTCCACCCTTCTCAAAAAAGATCCCAGTGAACTGGAAAAGGGTGGAGAGGAGCCATAAAGAAAAAGTAATTAAAGAAAATAATGCTGAAATGAATGCAAATACACTGTCAAGCATTGCAAAACAGTGAATAATTCTGATTATAAAAATGAGAATTCAGTGCTCCAGTAATGGGTTGGCTTAGTACTGGCAAATTGCATTACAGTTCTGTGTAAAGATCTCTGGATTTCTGCAGTCAGTTTCAGGAGAAGTGTTCTTCCACACTCAATAAATAAGAAGCATTTAATGTCCTGTACAGCTTTTCAGACAGTGTTCAAAACTGCAGTGTAGCATGGAAAACAGCTTGTGTTTTCCAGAAAACTTTAACCTCAGCCTTCCTTGAGTAGATGGATTCTTCAGTAGGGCAGCTGGGAGTGCAGAAAGGGATGTGTTCAGTGTCACTTTGCTGGGTGGCTGCTGCGATACATTTGCTTGTGAATGTTTCAGTATATACTTGCTGGGAACATACAGAACAATTTCAAAACATCATGATTTTTTAGGTGATACAGTGCTCGTTCACAGAGTACACAGCTATCTGGAGCGGCATGGTCTAATCAACTTTGGTATCTACAAAAGAGTGAAGCCTCTTCCAAGTAAGAAACTTGACAATTTTTGGAGTTTTGTTTTATTGTTCTGTGATTTCTTGGGGGAAATTTTTGAGTGCTTTTTTAGGATTGTTGTGCTGAGAAAATAAAAAAAGTCTGGGAAGCCATCTGGCTATAGATGTTTGTGTTTTTTATTTTGGCAAGGAGAAGCCTTTGAGAGTAAATCACTTTGAGAGGGAAGATGTTTGCAAACCTTCTGTAGATAATTCGGTGGCTGTCACTGTTCAATGAGTTATCTTTGTTCATCACTTGAGTAACAAAAGACAGAAACACGGTACTGTACATCTGTTATATGCTTACATGACGCTTGAATTTTACAAGCGCTATCCTTTCTAGATTTTATTTTTCTGGGACAGAAAGAAATAAAACTATGATATTTATCCCACAATAATTAATAAGAATCAGTTTCTTCTTCAAACAGTTGTCCTTCAGAAGTAGTTTTCTTCCTTGTCACAGGTGCACTGATGGTGTATTTTTCTTGTACCTGTCTCATTAGGAAAAATTAAGAAAAAATGTTACCTTATTATGTACATAATTACTTCAATTTTCTTAATGTGGCTATTTGTTTTGATTATGAGTTTATTTTGTCATAACTACCAGAGAGAAAAAATCTGCTTTTTGTTCTTAGTATCTCTTAAATGCAACTTTACCATGACTGCTTACAATGAACGTATAGAGCCTATAGCTTATTTTTCTTTTTCTTTAGCCAAGAAGACTGGAAAGGTGATCATTATTGGTTCTGGAGTCTCTGGGTTGGCAGCAGCTCGCCAGTTGCAGAGTTTTGGAATGGATGTCACAGTTCTAGAAGCCAGGGTATAAATTTCTGTGCTATTTTACTTCTATACAGAAACTTAACCGGTAACCACATTCAGTACTAGCGTAAGGCTAAGTATCTCAGCAGCATGCCCAAGACAGGTAAGCTTCTGTGTTGTTAACAGGCAGCCAGGATGCATTGCTGCCTAGTAAACCTGTCTCACTAGGAAACAAATCTCTGTTCTCGCTGGGAGTTAGCTAATGCTTTCTCAGGGGTGGACTGTATAGTCAGGTGCTAGTGTCATATGCTCACACCAGTAACAGGCTAGAATCTTCTTCCTTTCATGATTAGGAACTGACTTTTCACCAGAAAGCAGAATGCAAGTCTGTGTTTCAAGAATTTGCCCATTAAATACAATATTTGTTTGGAATTGCCATAAAATGTCAGGATATTTTTCTTGCACCTTTTTAAGTCTACATTAATTCTTTCTTTGTTTGTTCCTGTGTGCTTAACAGAGGCTTTAAAGTAACACAAAGCTAGATTTTATGCTGTGTGAACTAGCTGATTGTTCTTCCAGGAGTAAGGTATTCTCTTATATCCAGGCCTAATGTGGAAGCTCCATTTTTTAAAGTTGAAGGTTTTTTTCATATAACCCAATTAATTGAGAACAGCTTGCTACTCATTTAAAACAAATTAGTCCATTGACCAATTAAATTGGAATTTATCTTATGTGTTACTTTCTGACTTCATTTTCTTTGTATATTTATTTCTGACATTTTTCTAGCATAGACTAAAATAATCAGCTTAAGTTTTTTATTTGAGCAATGTTTCAGGCTCTTAAGTTTGCTAGCTACTACTGCTGTTGTTGCTAGAGAGCAAGAACTAGTTGCTGTGTACTTCACAGGTTCCATATCAGTAATGCAAAGAAGAGCACAGCAATCTAATTGTTTAGGAGTCTCTTGCTCACCTGAATGTATTGTGGTTTTTTCTTGTTTGATTGGTTGATTTGCCTTAGTTTGTTCTTTAGGGGGAGGTTTTCTGATGCTGGAAGGAAAAGATCCATACTGTATCCAAGTTTTGTTCAATGCATCTTTATTATAACCAGTGTGTAGATCTGGCAAGAGGCTATTTAAAAATAGTGCACAATATTTTTCAGTCGTTTTTCTCTAGACTGCTGCAGCTCTTCTTGAGTAGTCTATATTTTTTATTTTTTAAGGCTGCTGCATTATGATGCATTATGATTTTAGTGATTCAGGTGGTAGTTTATTTGTGCCCACTCATTTTCTGTAACTTTTCAACTATTAGTTTACATGCTTCTGAATTGCTGATTTAATTACAATTACTAAAAATCAATCTTTACATTTTTGCATGAATTTGTAGCTGTTTGGGATCCTTGCCCAGTTGTAATTGATTTTTCTCTCTGATATCATCCTGCTAGCTGAACTTTGATTAGGGAAAAGCGGCTTTTTTTTTTTTTTTAACTTATTAAGTTTAAAGTGATAGGAAAACAAGTGTCATCCTTAAGTCAGTTGTATGTGTCAAGAATCAAAACCTTTTTCTTGCTTCTAAAATGGACTGTTGCTTCATGGTTATCTTCTTGATTGATAGGTGGTTCTGTGGAGAACAGATAGGAATAATTAACTGATGGTTTTTCTAACCCTAAAATTTAGTTTTCTCACGCACAGCTGAATCATTTCCTGTATGGCTATTGGATTTTGTGGTAAGAAGTGGGAGGAGGAGGAGGAAATCTAGTATGTAACTTAATCTACCCATGGACAATGAAGGATTGGGTTTAGAATCACAGTAGATTCTACAGTAGATGTAGTTAAATCTGTCCAAATCAGGTTAGGCCTATTTTTCCTTTTTCTTCTTCCTTTTTTTTTTTTATTTTAAATGCAGCTTAAACATTTTGTTCCTTAACTTAGGCAGATTAATTGAGATCAAGTGTTCATTTGCAGAGGTGCTTGGAGAATTGTACATTCTATTTATGATCCTTTGGATAAGAGAATACTTACACCACTTTCTGTGGAAGTTTCAGTGATTGTGTTTAAGTGAGATGTATTGTTGAATGTTACCAGCGGTTTAATATATTGTGCTTTTAAAAGGACCGAGTTGGAGGAAGAGTTGCTACCTTTCGCAAAGGGAACTATGTTGCTGATCTAGGAGCAATGGTGGTAACAGGACTTGGTGAGTTTTTGAAAATAAAAAGGAGCGGGGAAAAAGATTTGGGGACAAGATGTTACAAATTTGAAACCTTATGCTATTTCCTTTCGTGGCCAAAATCATTGGGTATTTTTGACTATTAAAAAGTAGATGTTCTAGTTCAGCCTCTGGCAGTTCGCATTTTTCATCAGTGAATCTTCAGAACAGATGGCAGCGCACACTAAAAGCCAAGATATTTGTTGGTGCCTGGCTCTCACTGGTCACTGAAGTCATACAGGTGCTTGTCATATCATCAAACTGTTGTAGATCCATTTTTTCACAGTTTGCTTGTGCATAGTGGAATGCTTTGGTCTTCCCTTAGCATGCAGTCTTTTTGTGTGTCTGCTTGTTTGCCTAGTTTCTTTAAGGTTTTCACTTTCTGAGCAAGTATTTCTAAAGCTGCTTTACCCAGCTGCGAGCAGCATCTGAGCTCAGCTCCACAGACTTGAATTTCTTGGTAACTCTCTTGGTTGTTTCCTTGGACCTTCTAAGGTATAAGCTGAAATTGAACATGGAGAAGTAGAAATGTAGTGAGGGGATTAGTTGAGTAGCGAAGAGCAAAGTAAAGAAGAGCAAATAAATAGCAAAATTATAAGATGGGAGAGACCCTAAAAAGATGGAATAGACTGTTTCATTTACATGAGAAAGAAAGGGAGGAAGGAGAATGAAGGCTGAGCCATTCTACAGAGAAGGCTCTTCTTAGAGTCAGGATTTAAACTCCAAAAGTCCTTCCTCTAAGTGATTTCAAAAATAATTATAAAAATAATGGCAAACAAGCCATGTTTCTTCCTATTTAATGTTGGTTTATGGGATGGCATCAGTTACTGATACTGGTTACTTTTCTGAGAAGATAGCCAAGTGTTTAGTGCAGAATACCCTTCAGTAATGCAGTGAAATGATAAAATATTATAAAACCTATAATAAAACCTAACTTAGTTTTGCTGACTGCCAAAACTTGATGTCTGTCTTATGGTTAGTCTTTTATTAAATTGTATACAGAATCTGTTTCCAGACAAAAGAGTATTGAAGTTGCACAGTCCTGGTAAAACAGATTTAAGGTTAACTAGTGAAAGACTAATTTTTTTATATTTAATTTATCATGGGTGTTTCCTTTGCAAAAGAATCTACCCTTTGCCTTGAATGAGGCAGCATATGCTATGGAGAAAAAAAGATTCCTGTAGTGAAGGGGAGATGGTTTGAAGGGCATCCTTCATATTCCTGAATCTGGAAGAAATGTGAGGAGGGAAGACTACTGAAGGGGTTGAGCTTGTGGTTTGGGAAGGTGAAAGACTGAAGTTATGGGATCTTTTCTGGTTTCATTAGTAAACTATGGAAGAACTAACATTTTTAGTAGGTTGTTGAACTTGAAATATGAGCTTATTTAGACCTACTTCAAAACTATTTTCTGCTTGTTCAGTCACCCTTCTAAAGACAGGAAGGTATTAGGGTGACTAAACTTACCCCTCTATTTTGAACTAAGTCTCTGAGTTTGATTGGATCACAGAATCAGAGAACACTGGGAAGGTTAATCTGAGAAAACTTTTCCCAAAGTGGAAAGAAGCCCATGTTGCCTCTCTTCTATACCATTTCCCATTTGTGTCCCTTCGTTTCCTTTCTTCTGCTGTACTTACAGAGAGGCTTTGATGTTTAGTGATTCTGGATGCTAAAAGTTGATGCTTTCTGCCTTTTTCATATTTCTACGTGGAATCTCCTAGATTGTTTTCTAATCTGTTTAGTTACACATCTTCCAGGTACAGTTGTTGCACATGGTTCATCTCCATAGATTGTATTCACTAGTGTCACTTGGAGTTCCATTACGTTTTTAGGGACTAAATTCTTTGGGTTCCATCTCCATGTCACCACATTTTTGAAAGTTCCTGAAGTTACTGTGCACGTGTGGGAGCTTTCCTTGGCTTTTCAAACACTCTGCTTGCAAATGTTCTGAAGGTATGTTTATAGCTATAAACTCAATTGTACTAATGTTGCTGCCACCCTAGGACTGTGCTTTTATAGTCAGCCCTTTTTTGCATACTGTCCTCTAAGTATTGGTGGGCAGGTTTTTTTTCATGACCTTGTTGCAAGAATTACTGTGAACAGAAGACCTTTAGCAGTGTTACACTACTTCACTGGAATGCATTTTGCACTGAAGTTGGTGTGTTTAGTCTCTGAAATAGCTTTAAGTGTGGGATTTTTATTTAATTGCAGATGAACTTTGCAGGAGTACTCTGCTAACTGTACAAAATGTTTTTCAGGAGGAAATCCCATGGCTGTGGTCAGCAAACAAGTGAATATGGAATTAGCTAAGATCAAACAAAAATGCCCGCTTTATGAAGCAAATGGACAAGCTGTAAGTCTGATCCTGTTCTCATGAACCTTTTAAAAAGAAATAGTATCTCAAGTGTTTTTATTACCAGGCTATTGGTCTCACAGGAGATAGCTTGAGGAAGAAGGAGAGGGAATAATCAAACTGTGTGTCCATTTTTAGGAGGTGTAGTAATATTCTGTACCTATTCTTCTAAAACCTGCTCTTTCCACTTGAGTTTTTAACTTCGAGTTTCAAAGGTTTTGTGGAAGCTAAGTTCCTATTTGTTCTTCCCCAAATCATTACTGTTTTTCCTTAGACAGTTGTCTTTCTCACTTCTCTTTGAAACATTTGTCTGCTGTGCTGGCACTCTAGCTGCTGTTGTTGCTGCTACTCCTTTTCCCTGAAATAAGATCATTCTGGCTGTTCTTCTTACCTGTTGCTTTTTAAAGAATTGACTAACCAATGCCAGCTGGTTGAATGCATGCAACAGTTCAGAAATGATATTCTAGAGCTGGAATTAACAAACTTAATTAGCTTTATTTCTTTCTACTGCCATGTCAGGGAGTACTGTTAGAGATAGAAATGACAGTTCCTAGTTTAGTGCTGAATCGCACGCATTTATTGACTGGAAGTGTTCCTACCTCCTGAATCTTAAAACTTGGTACTAAAAGTAACTTCTGAAAGAAGACAGGTGAGGATACTGGGCTTCTCGATAGAGGCCTGCAAAACTGATCCTTGGTACGAACCTGTTGTAACCTGGCACCTACAGCTTTTGTTACTGCACATGAGTGAATAGGGTGTTATAATAAACTCAGGGGAAGCTACAAAGGCACTGTAGACAGTTCTAGCAGTCAGTCTGCTCTCGTGTTGTGAAGCCAGTCCTGCATGTAACATGCTTGCATCTGCACTGCTGTGTTCCCTCTCTCCCAGCTGTTTTCAGCATCAGCCCAGTAATGCTTCAGTGTCTCCAAGTGGAGCACATATATCCTCGTGCAATTTTAAGAGACTCCCTCTGTTTATACCACCCAATAAGACACACAGTTCAGCTACTTTGAACTTTAGACCATGCTTTTATTGTCTCAGTAAGCACTGTGATATCTGCAGCTTGACCATGCATATTTCTTTTCTGTAGTCCACTCCATTCTGTTTGCATTATGCAGCAACTAGATCACTTATGCCTGAGGGGCTTAGCTGGATAGATGTAGCTTCTGTGGTACAGGCATTTCTCTTGCTCATCAGATAGGCATTTACAGAAGAAGCCAATGGGAGTGTTTGTCTGAAAAGGAATATTTCTTCCAATCACCCTATAGTGTTTCCTATATTGCATTCAAATGCTGTTTAACCTAGGAGACCCTGTCAGGATGGAAACTGGCAGTGCAGCTGCATTCTGCCAAGTGCTAGGGTAGGGAGGAATCCCTCATCACAGAAAAGGTTCTTACTAACCTGGTGGGACAGGTAACATCACCTCCTTGTGTTCAAAGGTGGTTGCTGCAGCAAGAAATTGATGCTGTTTAGATGTGTGCATTTATTAGTGTAATGACAGGAAGTTTATAATACCAGTCATATTTTAAAAAGGCATGTCACAAAATTTGTCAGTTTACCTGACAAGCTGCAAACAAAGCTTGATATGTATAACTGGATATATTTTCCAGACCAAGTTTTATCGCTTCCTGTATTCAGTGTTGTTTTGATGACTGCATAATGAATCAGAGCGCTTTTTTTTGATCACGGCTCTAAGAATTTATCTGTATCCTGCCTTTCTCGCTCCATTGGAGAATGGTAGCAGTCTGAGTTTGTTATAAGGTGTAAATTTAGACTGTGCTAGAGAAGGTAATCTGTGTCATTGCTATGGTTTCTTTTAAAATTTTGTCTATACTACTCAAGTGTCTTATCTGAGGCTTTGAAGTTTGGTGACCTGTATTTTTTTTTCTTTTTATTTGTGAAAAGGTTATTAAGAAGAAAGCTTTGTTCTTTTGACTTGTAGGTTCCAAAAGAGAAAGATGAAATGGTGGAGCAAGAATTTAATCGTCTGCTGGAAGCCACATCCTATCTCAGTCATCAGCTGGATTTTAATGTTCTCAATAATAAGCCTGTATCCCTAGGTCAGGCCCTGGAGGTTGTCATACAGTAAGTGACTTCTCCCCCATGGTAGACTTTCTTATTTTGTGGAGGATTTTCCAAAAGATACCCAAAACAATTGTGAAGCTCGTAGGGTAATCATTACCCACTTTAATACAGCTGTTTGGTCTCTGTTGAGTTCTCATGTGTGTGTGTGTTTCTTGTTTATTGAAGCAAAGTACACCAAAGATTGTTAAAGGAGTAAATATCTTTTCTTGAAAGCTTCTTGACAATCACCACTACAGTAACTGATAGTGGATAATTGACTTCGGATGAATTGGTGTACATACAGCCCATTTATGCTACTTGAAAGCTAATGGCATTTGTAATATGCCTTTTAATAATAGTAGGTAACTTCAGATTCATGTTTTAGCTAGTCAGGTATGCCTTATTTACAGAAACCTGTATTAATTTTCTAATTGCCATACGATTATTTACTAAAATATCCCATGATGTGCTTTTATTGTGTTATACTAATTAGGTTGTGATAATGGGTTTTTCTCAATAATGTGAGGATTTTGTGCTGAACTGACTCACTTCTCACATTTTCCAGATTGCAAGAGAAACATGTGAAAGATGAACAGATTGAACATTGGAAAAAAATTGTGAAAACACAGGAGGAATTGAAAGATCTTCTTAACAAGGTCAGATGATGACAATAAGAACAAGAGTATAGTATTGTTTTTCTCAGAAAGTGGCAAAATGTATAAATGCTTCCATGGAAAAATATCAGAAAGTTGTCATTAATGCTGTTCTTAAACATATCTGTTAATTTAAAACCTGCTTAGAAGCACTGTTATGGCAAAGAAATCTCCATTTTTGAGACAGAACACATAAGTGATTAGGCCAGAAGACTAAAACATAAATATGGGAGAAGAAAGGGAGAGGACAGACATGATAAACAGTGTTGTGTCATAACTTCCTTTAGAGATGTTGATAATGACTGAGGCTTTTTGGGTGGGTATTTAAAAATGTTTACTTTCTTTACCACAAATCTGATTTGTAGTGTAAAAACAGAGTTTTGGGCCTACTTATAATGGTTTTGGTTGTGGTAGATGACATCATGTCAATGGAAGTTTCCCAAATTAAAAATGTCTGAGGACAACTCTCATATCCTAAGTTATTTGCAACATATTTTGTAAGAATTCAATCACGTTGGGTTTAAGCCATGTTGGTTTGGGGTTGGTGATATTTATTGTGGTTTCTTGGAGGTAGAATTGCATATAAGTAACATCTGCCAAAACCAGGAATCTCTTTGATATAATTTCATAGTTCAAGATGAATATCCATTTTACACAGTAACTTGCATGAAATCTCCCTTCTCTCATCTTTTTATTTCCTTCTTTTCTCCCTTTTCCTATTCCACCTGAAAAAGATGGTGAATTTAAAAGAAAAGATTAAAGAACTTCATCAACAGTATAAGGAAGCATCAGAAGTGAAGCCACCTCGGGATATTACAGCAGAGTTCCTTGTGAAAAGCAAACACAGAGATCTGACTGCACTTTGCAAGGTAAAGAATGACATACATACAGCACTTAAGTCAGTGGTGTCTGAGAACTTCAGCAGCCAGGTAAAATTAGCCAGTATGAATGCTTCCACATCTCTCGCTGTGGTCCAACAGTCTTAAGAGAATGTGACTGATGATAACTGGATTGTAATATTGATAACAGGGCTGGATTAAGTACCTTTAGGTACCCATCTTTTATGGCTCACAATGAAGAGTAACATGTTGAAGGCTCAGTTTTTGATAACAGTCCGTGCTGGCTCATGTCAGACAACATTTATGGTTTTGAATGCTAAATTTTAAGTGAGACTTGATCTTTAGTACTGCTGAGTCTCACAATAGTCTGGAAATAAAATTCGTATTTGAAGAGAGTTGTTCTTTCTCTGAGATAAAAAAGGTGGCTTCCTAAATAAAAGACTACTTTCTATCCAAAGATTATAATTTTCAGAGCTCTGTCTTGACAAGTAGAGTTAATCCACCCCTCTGTGTATATCTTGATGTTAGAAATATGAGTTAAAAAGGAAATCTTAAAAACTGTTCTTTCTGTGACAGTGAAAGACACCTTGCTAACCCAGGTCAGATAGAGCCAAGGATCATTTTTCAGCTGCCACTTCAACAGAAGATATATGCCTTTATTTGGAAGCTCAATGTGTTTGTGTATACATAAGTATTAGTTCTTTTATTTTTGTCACCAATAAATAGATTTGTGCTCTTGTTGCTATTATTGGATACACCAAATTATTCTGCTGTGGAGGAAAAAGATTGTTGCCTTTATACTTAGTTCTACTAATGGCTTTTAAAAGAAGAAGAAAAAAAAAAAAAAAAACACAAAAAACCAAAACCCTCTGAAGGAAGCTTGAATTAGATCATGTCTTTGCCTTTTACATGACTGCTTTTGCTTTGGAAATCTGTGTTCAATATTAACTATAATATTTTAAAAGAGAAAGAAGAATAGAAGTAATATCTTATGCAATACATAGAAGCTGTCAGTACCATAGGAATGTCTAAAATACTGTAATGGACCTTCATATTCTTCAGATCTGAGTGTGGAAATTCATGAAATATTAGCATACTAACTTTTTCTGCAGTGTGGCATTGACTTCTGTATATTGAAGCAGCAGAAGAGCTGGATTGAATGATGAAAAACTAAAGAACTTGATTTACATTCCACTAAAACCATGAATCTTCCACTGATTTCTCTTGAGGTTAGGTCTTGTCTGGTGCTACATGATGTCTTTAAGCCCTTCTACATGTAAACTGATTTTAATTTTAGCTTTTAATTTTATTAGGAATATGATGAATTGGCAGAGACACAAGGAAAGCTGGAAGAGAAGTTACAAGAACTTGAAGCCAATCCACCAAGGTAAAGATACAAAATAGAAATATAAATACCCAGGAGAGCAGGGGTTTTTTACTACTACTTTTCACTGACTTTCAAATATGCTATGGTATGCTTTCTTTTAATTATAGTAACTCAAGGGGTTAGGAAGGTACAGACACGAAGTTTGAGGTCCCTCAGATTTAGACCTCATCTTCCTTGATTTTAGATGTGGCTCAGACAAAAAAGGTGGTTCTTAACTAGAGTGCTTTTTGGTAGAAATCCTTCCTGTAACTGGTGCCTGATCTCAGGAAGCCTTTGAGGTTTGAAATCCCCATGAATAATGATAGCATACCAATCCTGCTTATTCTGGCAGAATATTACTATTTTGTACGATGTGTGATGATACTACATTCTTAGTTGTCATCTGCATACATGTTACTTAAGCCATTATTTATGTAACCTTTTTCTGTTTCTAAAGTTTCTAGTTTCACTTAGAATATTTGACATGAACTCTACTTTGAAAATATGAATTTACTGTTTTTTTGATATTCAGGTTTCATGAAGGAAGTACAAATGTTTGGAACAGTCTGCTTGTGTTCTTTTTAAAAAAATTTTACTTCTCCACTAAAGAACAATGCATTTGCAACATCCTGCTCTAGCAAACTAAATGTCTTTGTGTTATATTTGGTTTTTTTGTAGTGATGTTTATCTGTCATCAAGAGACAGGCAAATACTTGACTGGCATTTTGCAAACCTAGAATTTGCTAATGCTACACCCCTGTCTACGCTTTCACTGAAGCACTGGGACCAGGTAGCTAATTTATTAATTCAGCAATACACTAAAACTGAAGCTATATTTATTTCATTCTTATGTAATCCTCTTTATGTTAACAGTTTCTAAACACTTAAGTGCTGTCTGTATTTATGCACATACTGCGCTCTTACATGATTATTATTTGCTGATGAAATTCCAGACAGCTTTTTGCTAGTGCCAAAACAATCTCTAATGATACTGTCTACTGAAAGTTCCTATACTTATTACTTGGCTAATAAACAGAAAGGATTTAAATTCTATTAGACTCACTATTTAAATAAAAGTTTTTGAACATTTTTTTTGCCATTGTGTAGAGTCACTGATTATTTTCTATTGAATTATGTGATTTTGTTACAATTCGTGCTTTTTATGCATCTTCATTTTAGGATGATGACTTTGAATTCACAGGCAGTCACTTGACTGTGAGGAATGGGTATTCCTGTGTGCCTGTAGCCTTGGCAGAAGGGTTGGATATTAAATTAAACACAGCAGTTCGACAGGTTCGCTATACAGCATCAGGTAAGTAAAGCCACCTCCTCTGGAAAACTGCTCTGAGGGAGTATGATCATAGAAATTAGATTTCAGTGCTTCTGGAAGCAGTGCAAAGAAGATTGATCTTGTAAAAACCCTCCCATTATATGTTTTGGGTTAGATAAACAGCTACATTTCTTATTGTGATTAATTGTGTAGGAAGCTCTTAGAGATTTATTGATCTTTAATGTTTTTTGCTTATTGCTGTGGCTGGTTTGATACCATCATTTTCAGTTGCATTTACTGATTCACAAGTTCACATTCATTCTCCCATTTCCTTACTTCATTGATTGAAGCATTTGGAATAAGAGGTCTTGGACTGCTTAAGACTTGGTGCTACAGGATCTGGTATTACAAGTATAAATGAATGTAGTATGGACTCAAAACAAATGGAAGGAGTATCTTTTTGTTGATTTTCAAAACACTGGGCTTGGGAAACTGTCAACTGGGAGAGCAGCTCAATGAGAACCTCACCCTCTTCTTGGGATTTATTTATGCGTATATTTAAATATCATTTACTGGTCTAGATGAACCTTTAGGCTTATCCCAGTATGGTTGTTTTCAGATGCTGTGTAAATTACACTTTCTGGAATTGAGCTGTGTGGCCCATAGCATTCACTTGCACATAAGTTAAGTAATTGTTAGGTAAAGCTGTCTTCATAAACAAAATGTTTTCTAATGTGGATATGTTTTTATGATAGTTTCTTTCGGTTTTAATTTAATGCTCTTGCCTCCTGACAATGTTTGATGTTTGAATGCTAAATGTTTGATTTTTCTCTTCCCTTTCTAGGCTGTGAAGTGATAGCTGTAAATACCCGATCTACTAGCCAGACTTTCATTTACAAATGTGATGCTGTGCTGTGTACTCTTCCCTTGGGAGTATTGAAACAGCAGCCTCCAGCAGTACAGTTTGTGCCACCTCTTCCCGAGTGGAAAACTTCTGCAGTGCAGCGTATGGGATTTGGCAACCTTAACAAGGTGACTTGGTCATTGAGGGAACTGCAGCAGACCAGGGGTTGCAATAGGTAGAATCTGAAATGTATGTGGAATATGTATGGTGGATGAGAGGAAGAACTTATTTTCCACTGTTGTTTTGCTAGATTTTGATGCTGAAAATTATCTGAAGAACTGTAAGGACCTCTCCTCTACTTCCCACACAATTTTTAAATAGTTAAATTTCAGAAGTAGGTTGACTCAGTGTGCCTGCTGTAGCTTGTTAACCAGCAAATTTGTAAACTATGAAAGCATACTAACCTATGGAAGGCAATATAGGTATGCACCTTTATGTATTATGTATATGCAGTATATATTCACCAGATTTTCCTTTCTTGACTTTTCCAGTGGTAAACATTAATGAGTATAGTTATTTTTATTTTTATTTTTTCTGTGTGCTCTTCTGAACCCTTGATTCTTTTTGGTTTAGGTTGTGTTGTGTTTTGATCGTGTCTTCTGGGATCCGAGTGTCAATTTGTTTGGTCATGTTGGTAGCACTACTGCAAGCAGAGGAGAACTTTTCCTGTTTTGGAACCTGTACAAAGGTACCTGTGGTGCATGTCAACTTCTGCCAGTGCCTTATTTGTGTAGCATCAGATCTAAAAAGGAGCACATTTTAAGACACTGTTGGTGTTCACATCTGGATATTATAAGATAGTATTTGTAGGAAGACAAATGGAAGCAGAGAGCACCACTGACTTGCAAACAATTCTGTAATAAATTAGGGAAGAACATGGACAAGAATGGATTTACTAATGCTGAATTCCAGGCTATGTCTGTTAGATTGCATTGCTACTTATCTGCTGTAACACTTGCATTTTTATGGGCTACTTCATTGTCTTGCACTCTGGTGAAGTTGGCCTGTGACTTAGTGTTATTGTGATTGCTTCTATTAAGCATCTATTTAGTTGTCACTGATATTGTGAAAAACGTAACTTTTAAAATTTTGATTGTGCTGTATTAAGAAAAAAAACCCAAAAACCTGATCTAGCATGTTTATAGTATTTCAGAAATACAGCAAATAACATGTGTTCTGTTTGCTGAAGAGCAGCGCTGTCTTAATCTACTTTGTCAGGATGTACTGAGTTCTCTGAGAAAAGGATGATTTGTAACTGCAGCATTTCTGAATTAAAAGCCATTTCTTATTTCATAAGACTCTGAAATCACGCAAATGGGACTGGCATCAGATGGAATCTTAGTTCTGAAAACCTCAGTTTCCTGGATGCTTCTCAAGTTGAACTGACAGTTTGAAGCCAGACCTCTTTCATAGGGCTGTTTAATGTGGGTTGATTTGATAAATGTAGATGAGCCCCTTTCATCTGCTACCTCAAGTCTTTTCTGGTACAGGTGACTGCTGCCTGGGATTTCAAACTTAAGTGTCTAGGAACTAACCAAGACAAATTACATTTTTTTCAGATGTAAGGGGTGCTGTTGACTTGTGTATTCTCTTATGTGGCTGAGCTGCAGAACTCAATTCTTGTAGATTATCCTGCTTTGATTTCTCAGGGGAGTGCAGTGCAGCCTTTACAGAGTATTGAACACTCAGATTTCAGTGGAGCAGACTAGAGGCTTTGTGTTAGCTCCATTCCTCTCGCTGAGCATTACTGTTCCAGCTTGATGAACTGCAGGCCCATCCACACAGTTAAGGTGCAGTGTGCCCTGGAGGAAGGGTGAGCTGTGGTGTCTCCAGTTTGTTGAATGAATAATTTTGTTTCCTGTTTTGATCATCAGAGCAGCTATGACTGTAGACTGTGGGTCTCAGACTGACAGATAACTTCAGAACTCCTCTTTAGAAAATGCTGAAGTAGGCAAGAGGTATTGCTCTGCCTGTTTCTACAGCTGGACTTTGCCTTTGGTGGTTTTGTTTTATCTGCAGCTGGTGTTTGCCACAAGAGGTTGTCAGAAGGTATTTTCAGTAAGCATACTGGTTTTATTCATTGCCATTTATCATACTAAAAGCAAAGGTGTATATACAGTGAGCACTATTAAATGGCCTTTTTTTCTTGCAGGTGACTATTTAAAGTACCAGTGGGTTTTCTTCCACTCTGTTGTGGGCGAGCCAGGTTTTTCTTTTAACTGGAGAAAATTGCTGTGCAAGGAAGGTGCCATTAGGATATTTAATTGTGAAAATGTTTGATAAGGCTTGACTGAAAAATACAAGTAGTGAGCCTTGGATAACAAGGCTGTTTGTGGATCTACTTTTGTGGCTTTAAGATGGCTCTGTTACATACTTAATAAGTTGTGTTGGGGTTTTGATATAGATGACCACCTGACATACAAAGGTTTTGCTGCCAGATGCAAAACTTTCCTTCTCATGAAAAAAGGCAGAGCACAGAAACAAAATATAAATGCAATAAAATGCTATGCTAAAGCACAAGTCAGATGGCTGAAATTGAAAAAAATCAGTTACCATGTCTCATGGATAGTTAGGTGGCAGTTAACTGTGAAATATTAAAGTAGACCTGACTGAATTTGTGAAGCTGTTATTCTGTCATATTCTGTATTTCTGTAGCCATAGCATTTTGGTCAGAGACTATTTAAACTGAACAGATTGGAGAGCAATTATTAATCCAGAAACAAAAAAACTAGAAGTAGCACAGCACATGCTGTATTATCTCTGTGGAAGTTCTTTAAAGGTTTTGTGTTGGCAGAGACCAACTAGTCTCTGACAAGTGTTTAAAGATAAGTGGGTGAATGGAGTGGAACTCAGGTGAAAAGACTGTATGTTTGTGCTGCTGTTGGGTGACCTGTTGTAGCTCAGACAGGAGTCTTCCCAGTGGTGTAAGTCTAGTTCAGGTAATTGCTAAGAACACCTGTAGCCTCAGGAACACCATGTGTGTCCCAGAGCAGCTGGCCTGTGCTGTTGGTGCCTCTTGCTCTGCCATGCTGTTGGATTATTGTCACAGCCGTGTTAGACACACTTTAAGATGGAGAGATTCCATCAGCACAGGACACAAGAATTTCTGGCAGAAATGCTCAGTGTTTTCTGGAAGTCAAGTGACATCTCAGTCTCTGCTTTCTTGCCTCTCCTGTTTTTTCTAGAGACGTGTGATGAAAAAGATGAGTCCTTTTCTCTGTCATAGTTCTGTGGTTACTCACTGATCTTTGGCTAAACCATGTTCTGTGCTTGCTGTTTGGTATTAAGGCTCAGTAAACATCACTGCCTCAAGGAGAGAATTTTCTGTGGAGCAGTGACACGTGCTCATCATGCAGGAAGCTTTTCTGAGCAGCACTTTGATATTTGCATAGCAAGATAGTTACTGTTCTGTTACAGTCTTCTGGCTTACTGTTATGGTTCTGAATTAATCCAGATGACTGAATAGTAACATTTTCAGGTCTGGATAAATGCTTACAAAACAGGGCCTCTTGCCTGGAAAGGCGGGATTTCCATAAAAATATTTTGGGATTGTCTGAATACAAGTTTTCATGACCAAATTCATGGAACATACATTTTGAACATGTAGTTTTTCCACTGAGAAAAAATACATTGTCTAAATACATGCTGAAAAGTTCATTGATCTCATTGTGTCAAGGATGGCAAACTATGAAAAACTTTGCTGCTAAAATGACAAAAAATATTTCCCAGTGCCTGTGGATGATAAGAAACCAGTTTTTGGTTCTTTCTTACAATTGTTTGAAAGACTAGGCTAATCTTTCAGAAAATGGAGTTTAACTAGAGCAGTCCTGTATCTTTTTTCTCTAATAAACTGCTTCTGGTCCCAGGAGTCCAGCACATTGAAGTATCTTAATTGTATCTTTGGAATTATCTTTGTAGTAATATCAGCCCTACTAGTCTAACTTCTTGAGAATTTCAAAGACTTTTGTTTTTAACCAGAGTATATTACTGGGTCTTCCAGCCTGTATATTGCAACTGAACTTCAGCCAGTTTTCTTTTCAAGAGCAGTAACTTGATGAGAATGTATACCAGGAGATCTCCAGATATATCAGAATATAAGGAGTTCACTAATTATTTTGGAAACCTATACAAAAGTTAAAGCCAAATTTTTATCAAGGACTTTATTTCTCATTTCAATGTGCTTGACATCTGTTTCTAGCCGTACTATTGCCTTTGCTAAATTTAGGAGTTCATAAGTATCTCCAGGAGAAGAAAGATCAACTGAGAGAGTTTTCACTAAGTAATTGTGCTTGGGTCTGAGTTACTTCTTGTAAATGCATGTTTCTTGCCATTGGGTGATTTTGGTAGCTCTTCAATAATTTTTTCCTTGATTTTCCTTGAATTTGTGACTACCAAAAATGTATGTCTTACTAGCAGGTCAGAGGTAAAATTACCTCATCTATTTGTTTGTAAATCCTACAAACACATTAACAGTGTTCACCACGGCATCAGGTAGGCAGCTGAGTTTCTTAGTATCTGTCCATCTGACTTCTGAATTCTTCTCAGAATTGCTGCTTTTCTGGATATTGTTCCACTGTTCATAGTTTCCACTCCATTGAGATTATTTAATGTGAATGTTCGTTCATAATGAAGAAGTCTAGATTATTTCTATGAGTGAAGTACTTATACAGGTAACTTAACCTGCTATGCTGATGTTAATCATACCTAAATTAGATTGAAAGGTACCGAGTTCCCTTACGTGTAGCACAAGTGATTGTTAAATCCCAGTGGAACCTCCTATGTCAAACAAGTGATGTCTTCCATAAAGAAAACCTTTCGTCTTCTGCATGCTGTACTTCCTAATGTATGTTTTTAATTTTTAATACCTCAGTTCTCTTGATAATTCTAAATAGTACCATAGCATATATTAATTCATTTTTCTTTTGGTAATTTGACATGATGGTGGAAGATTCTGGACTACTTTTATTGGGTTTGTTTGGTTTTTTATCTCATGACTTAACTGTCTACTGAAGTCCAACTTGTCTGATTAAAAAGTTTGATTTCAATAATACAATTGTTTTTTTCTTCTCTCCTTCCCCACCTCTTAGCACCAATTTTGTTGGCTTTGGTAGCAGGAGAAGCAGCAGGGATCATGGAAAATATCAGTGATGATGTCATTGTTGGAAGGTGCCTTGCTATCCTCAAAGGCATATTTGGTAGCAGCGCTGTGCCCCAGGTTTGTACAGACAGCATCTTTGAGTAACTTCTCTGGTTTTCAGAACATACTGCAGTACTCAGTAGCCTGGCTGCTGTATTGACCTGTTTGGTATATGTACCACCTTTTGTTTGTTGTTTTTTGGGGGAGGAGGGATTTGTGGGTTTGTTTTTTTGGGGGTGGGCTGGAATTTTTTGAGGGGGTTGGATTTGTTTGGGGTTTGTTGTTCTTTGTTTTTTTGTTTGCTTGTTTATTTTTTGAGAGAAGATTGTTTTAAACCGACTAAAATGCTAGCTTTTCTAGAATGTCAAATACTTCAGTTAATTTTCTACCTTTTTCATATCGGGAGTAAATAAATAGCTCTCCTACACTGGGATTTCTTTGTAGTAAACTAATAGAAAAAATACACGGTAACTTTAATCAGTCTTCTCTGAGCATTTGGCCAGGTGTAAATTGAACTGTTTACATGCTCAGTATTTCACATGAGGAATAGATTTACTTCGTTGTCTTTATTGTAGAATAGTTGTAGAGCTCTTTTTGAACGTGGCTTTATCATCTCCAGTATTCTACTGCTTTCTATATGATGAACAAATCCTTACAGCTGACTGTAAGCATGGATTTTTGGTTAATGAGTGGATCTCATATATTGGAAATGCTCAATCAGTTGTATTTTACATCTCAGACTGGAGAATGCAAGAGAAGGAAACCCCAGGCTTGCCTTTCTGATGAATGCATAGCTCTTTCTCTGAACTCTTGGAAGATGATTTCACTTCCTAATGAGATACCTCTCTGAGAGGAGCTTTGAGACTTTTCTGTCTGCAGGTGCTGTACAAATCATGTAGTGTGTAGAAGTTGGTATAGAGTGAACCAAGAGCAAAACGTTTTACTGCAGCTGCTCTCTAGTAGGATTTTCAAGTGCAAAAACTACACACTGGCAAATTGCAGAATATTGAGAAATATGGATTCTACTGTAGATAAACATCAAATTTAGAGAACTTATTTGAACTTTTAAAATAGTTCAGTGCATTAACTAATAATCCCCTGTTATGGAATGACTCCATACTTGGTCAGTCTTTCAAAGGAGAAGACAGTTCTCAGTTGTGAAAGCAAGATTTCTGAGTGAGCTATTTTAACCTATTCACAGTTCATGTGCTTATGTACTACAAGCACTTGATAGTGGAGAGATTTGCTGGAGGCTGTCTTCCAGACAGCCATTCACGAGTGGATAAACTGCACTCACATCTGTTGTATTGGACAAACAACTATAAACAAAGTGGAGCTTGCTGTGCAAGTACAGTTCTTTCTATCTGACCAAAACACGGAAGTAGAAAAGTTAAACAAAAGCAACACTTATCCGAGCCATCCTCCTAGTTCCTGTGCTGCTGCTTGTTACTGTCTTATTTTCTCTTCCTGGTTTGGTTTTTGTTTCCTGAAGATAGATACAACCACTTTTCGCCCCTGCTGTTCTCCAACACATGGAAGCCTGTTCAACCTTTCTGTGTAGATAACCTCTGCAAGCTTCATGTCCTCTGTAGAGTAGGATTCCCGTTTTGTACCACTTCCATTGTAGTACCTGCTTTACCCTCTAACCATCATTCTCCCTGTTCAAAGGGAATCCTTACTATGGCGTTTCCTTCTCAGGATGAAAATAGAAGTTGACTCGTACCCGTGTGTGGGTATGTGGGCACATGAACACCACAGTTGCTGTTTGGACTGGTGCAGTCTCTGTACTGGGGAACCGGCGCTTTCATAGTATGTTCTACAATTGTGTCTGGGTTAGCCATACCTCCAAAGCTACCTCAGTGAAGCAAAATTTCTATCTGGCTTTATTCCCTGGTAGACTACAATGTTTCATGTGATTACTAGAGAGAATTAAGAAATCTATGAGATGCTTCAAAGTTTTCTTTGTCAGGCATAGATGTGAAAACATTACAAGTGCCATCACAGTGGTCTCCATCCAACAAGGATGGAAATGTGAGGTTACTTTTTTTCTCAAGAAGCAGTCAACAGGTGAGGGCTGGCTTATCACTCAGTTTCTTACCTTTTGGATAAAAAAGTGCTGAAGATTGTGGTGAGGAATTTTCTCAATTAAGTCATCAGACCATATTGGGAAATGTGGTCTCCAACCCCCAAGGTGTCTTACACCTTGGAACATAGCCCCAGTCCTCTGGCCTTTCCACAGACTCCGCAGAAGACATCAAATATAGTCCATCTGAAGCCAGCCTCAGAGTTCTCAGTTCTGTGGGTGTTGGGGCCCAGGAGATTTCCCTTGCCAGGATGTGGTGCAGTGCCTGCTGGACTGGTTTCTAGATAATGCCCTAACTGGATAGAGGCTCTTTCTCTTCCTTTGTGGGAAGGTCTGTTCAAGTAGAAACAATTCTATGAAATATCTTTATGCCCAAGAAGAGGAGATGATGTTCCTGTCTTGATGTTTGCATTTTTGTAGGGTATGATTCCTGTTAAAACTGAGTTACACATTCAGACAGAGTCCAGATGATTTTAAGATTCACACCCATCACTTTTCAATGTTATGCCTGCAAGGTTATGAAGGTGTCTCATTTTCTCTTGACTGCTGTTATGCCTTAAAATGATAGTAGTTTGAGTCACAGTGATACTCTCACTGTTGGCATCTTTCAGTGGAATATCTTTCATCATAACCAGTACCTTGGCAAGCCAGATGGATTGGAGAAATACAGGTGCTTGTGCAGGTGCCCTTCATGCAGTCATTTTCCTGGATGAGTTACAGACCTCATACAGGCCTGCATCGTAGTCAAATCAAAAGAGATATTCAGAAGAGCTGTGGCTGAAAGAAAGTAAAGGAGTAGGAAGTATGCATTGTCATTATGTTGATAACTGGAGAAGAAACATAGCAAACAGTACACAGTGTGCATGTACAACGACTACAAAGTCTGAGTTCAGTGCAGAAGCTATGTGCAATAGGTGCTGGTAATGTATTGGAAAGAATTAAGGTATTGCCACCAAAGAGAAGTTACTTACCTTAGTATGTGTTATCATGGAATATAAACTTGGAGTTCCATCATTAACATTAGCCTAAAAACCTTGTGTCTTTCATTCTTGCAATTTGCATCTTTTGTACTGACTGTAGAACTTGCACTGAGTCAATAACTGAAGTTTCTGTCTTGTCTCAGCCTAAAGAGACGGTGGTGTCCCGCTGGCGTGCTGATCCATGGGCCCGAGGATCGTACTCCTATGTAGCAGCTGGATCTTCTGGAAATGACTATGATTTGATGGCTCAGCCAATTACTCCAGGGCCAGCCATTCCAGGTGCTCCTCAGGTGAGAGATGTCTTGATTCTTTTTAGGAAAAATGCAAAACAGGATGATTTTTCTAAGTAATTCCATACGTATCTAAACACAAGTTCAGATAACTAGCATCTTCTGATGAGTGATTAGAACCTGTAAAATAATACATTTTTCCATCCATGAATTCTTCATTCCCATGTTTGGTGTCATCTGTTTTCTAGAAAAAGAGCTTTTTTTTTATTCAGAAAGTCAATTTGGTGGTGTCTGAAGAGTATGTAATACACATTTATTGTGTTTCATAGTCCATATTCATATTGTCCATCATCATATTTAAGTGAGTTGTTGTGATTTGAAAGAGGGTGAAGGCTAGAGTTAGAGGAACAGGAATCAAAAGGTCTTTCCCAAATTGGGAGCAAACACAATGAAGGCATAAGTCATCTTATGAATGTCAGTCAGTCATCTGGGATTTATGGCTTTTGCTTTATTTAGGTTCTTTTTCTAGTGACACAAGTCCTTACTAAACATAACTATGGATAAAACGACTCTACAGAGTATAATATATGAGAGTCTGTTTTTCTTCTATTTTTTATGACGCTGTCAGTAGTTGGTTTAGGTCTCAGTTTAAAGAGAAACTGCTAAATTAAGTGAATTGCTGATGTTTTCGTTTGGTTACTGTGCTAGAGTTCATGTCCCAGAATCAGAAACCATCATTATTCTTAAACATGTTTAACAGTTTGGCTGTAGAGTTGTAGATAACAACATTCAAATGATTTTTCAGTACACAGCTGAGGATGTTAACCTCACATGCTTATCTGGTTTTGAAAGTATTCTTTTTCAAGTAGAGCTTTATTGTCTTTATCAAAGCAAAGATATTGGCAAATAATTGGAAAATATTTCATTATAATAAAGTCATTACAAGCACGAAACTCCTGTGAAATTAAATGTATATATAAAGATTTTCTTTGTAATTTATAGGACAGATTAACATGTTTTTAATACAGACTATTTTATATGCACCACCTTCCTGTTAATGGAGACTGGTGCGTATTTTTATGCACCTCACAAAATGGACTCTTAATATCATTCTTAAAGCATCTGTTCGCTGCAGAATCTGAAAGAATGTGAACAACCCTTAACAGCATTCTCTGTTCCCCCAGCCTATTCCTCGCCTGTTTTTTGCGGGAGAACATACAATTCGCAACTACCCTGCAACTGTTCATGGTGCTTTACTGAGCGGACTGAGAGAAGCCGGTCGCATCGCAGACCAGTTTCTTGGGGCCATGTATACTTTGCCTCGTCAGCCTACGGCTGGGGTCCCCCCACAACAAGCTACCAGCATGTAAGAAAAGTAGAAGGTATCAGAAGAGGAGTGACAAGACCACAGTGCTGCTGTTGTGGACTCTTTGGGATGAAGATATTCACGTAGGCTGGAACAGTATCTGCTGAGAGGACTCAGCCATGAGTTACTGCGTAATACTTCCACTAGAATGGCCTTACAAAAACTTACCTAACCTTTGGCTTGGCGCATCCTTTTACAGAATCTCTTACAGCTATTTGAAGTGTCAGTGTACACAGAATCCTTTACTGCCAAGCTAGTCAGGGACTTTTTTGACTCTGCAGTTACATTTTGAAAGTCAGACTTAAAGCTGGAAGGGGTTTTTTGAGATTTTGGGTTGGGATTTTTCCCTACCTATATGTCTATTTACAACTCGGTAATTGCACAAGGCCCTCTAGAAGCTGGTTGCTACGAATAGTAGCTTAGTGTAGAATTTATATAAACTTCTTTGGGGTTTTAAATTTTTATTGTTTTATTTTGAAGAATAATATTTTTTGACCAATTCTATCTGGCATTTGAGAATTTGGTACAACTGTTTCCCCACCAGTAACAGCAAATCACACCCCTCCAAAATGGTCCTTTGGCTGCTACACCGTATGCATCCTGTTTTAGAAAGAAAGCTGATATTGCTAAGAGTGTGCTAAGAATACTGTTTTATTAAATACTTTCAACAGAAGAAATCATCAGAATTGTATATTTATAAGTTAAAAGCTAGAAATATTGTTCGTATTTGTTCTTCTGTAGAAACAGAGTTGTCTAGACAGTAAGTTAGGCAGGAGGCCTGATCTCTTGACTTCTGCATGCTGCAGTTAGACATTCTGTGTACCTGTTGATTTCATTTCTGCTAGGTTGATGAGATGATGGTGCAGCTGCCACTGTTATGCTTCTGAAAATCACTTTGGTTTGGCTGCTTTTCCAAATATTTTCCTTATTAATTCAGCACATAGAGCCTGCCTTTCATTGCATAGAGCAGTCTTATTTAAACATTTAGGTCCTTTTTCCTCCTTCTCCTTTCCTCATTTAGCATTACACTTTTCTTATTTCTTCCAACTTTTCTCATCTTCCTATTTCTACTTTTCAGTTTTTCTGTTCTCACTCTTTCTGACCCCATATCTGTAAATGTGCTGTCTGTCCCAACTTTCTTCTGTCCTTTCACCATCTGTTCTGCTGGAGGATCAGTACCTCCTCTTGTTTCATGCTCATCCCTCTACAATTACATTGCCCACACTTCTTCCTGAAGAAAATACATACACAAACATAACAGCAGCCCTTAGTTGTTTATAGCTGTATTGTGTTTGGCCATGGACTCTCAATCTTCTAGCATCATTGCTTCTACTGTTTATTTGTGTCTCCTTAGTAGCTGGAGATCACTGTTCCATCTGACCATGTCTATTGCCTTCTGGTTCCTCTCTCATTAGATGTTGGAGTCAGCGAGGGCCTTCTCTCCATTGGTAGTCCTGACAAGCTGTGAGAAAGGGGAGGACTCTGATGTGGCAGGGGTAATACTCTGTGATAGGGCACAGACTTTTAAGTGTCAAGGATTAAGCCCGTTTGAAGTGGCTGGAGTTGGTGCCATGGGGGACCCTCTATCCTGAACTTCTGTCTAAATTAGTGCTACCTGCCCTATATCTCTAACTTTGCAAATGTTGTTGTCACTTGAGCCCTTTATTGAAAGGGGTACTCCTCAGCAACACTGCTCATCCTTGCTGTTCCTTCTGGGGAACAAGACAGACTTTGTGATGGTTGGTCAGAAAACTGTCAGTGAAGTGGGGCAGGAATTAGAATTCCAGCAGGGCATGGAGGAGGGGTGTCTAGGGAGTGACGGCAAGTAAATTGAAAGTAACCTGAGACTCAAGACTCCATGCCCTTATGTTCAGGTAAAAGCCTCTCAGCACTACTACCCAGTGAAATCTTATTCCAGGATGAGGGATGTGACAGGCCTTTAAAATTCAGCAACAACTGATCTAGTCTGTTGACTAGTCTGGCTGAAGATGGGAAAAGGATCTGAGAGTTAGGGTGCTATGTTCTATAACCAGGCTTCCAGCCTCTATGGGTCTCCATATTTGTGGGGTGGTTTACTACTGGGCTTAGTGATGGTGCTGTCTTTTGCCATAAGGACTGTCATCCCATTTGCTTTAGCAAAGTGTCAAAAACTCAGAAGAGCACTTCTGGCCCATTGGAAAATAAAATAATCCTCAACCTAACATAGCCAAATGGTATCTTTTCCAGACAAATACCAAGTCAATTTGCATCAGCTTGTTAATGTTTTCAGCTGCTTTGTTGTGCTTTACGTTCTAACTGAGATTTATCAGATTATTCAGCAGCCTGATGCTGTCAAACAACACACAGTAATTTGTCAGACATTCAAATGTGAACAAACTTCCTTCGTGCAAGGCCATTGCTTTGTCTGAGTGGGGCTACTCTTTCACCTGACAACCAGACTGTCCTGTTTTCCCTTTTCAAAAAGACATCCAAAAACTGTGGTGACCACTGAAATAAGAAGGTGGAGATGAAGCCCTGACAGTTCCCACTCTTTTTGAAGGTATGCAGGGAGTTGGTGGGTGTTAGCACATGGTGGTGGTGGGCATGAACAAAGGAATGGGAATGCCAGGAGATGGGGAGGAGGCCCTGTGACTTGCTTTCGGAGTCTTCACTGGATGATCTGTGGCCTGCTGCACCCTGTCCTCTCCATTATCTCTGGGGGCCGTGGACCTATTCCTCAGCCAGTCCCTGCTAAAAACAGGTATTAGTAGGTATTAGAGTGAACAGCTTAGAGTAGTTTCAGCTCTCAGGGGTGTTTGAAGCTCAGTGAAGACACGGATATGACTGTGCAGGTAGTTGCTGAACACCTCAGAGCTGCTGTGTTGCAGCTCCTGCCCTGCATGGCCCATTTTGTCATGATCAGTGGAATTGGTTGCAGCTTAGGCAGGGGGTAGCAGTGGTTGCGTGAAGGTCAAAAGACTGTTCCTTTTGTTCTGGTTGGATCCTGTGGAATTGCTGGGATGGAGCGGGGAGCTTGCAGGGAAGCACTGTTAACCCAAGACCACCTGGAGCTTGCAGACCTGGAAGAGATGGCCTGAGCATGTAGTGATGAGACAACTTAGTATTGGGGTTCAGCTCTGCTAGGCCACATGGTGAAACTCCAGTTGTTTGTCCAGGAGCAGGATGGTCTCGCAGTCTTTGCAGCACCACCAGTGTGTGATATTCCTTGAGTAGGTACTCTCCCAACAGTTAGCAGCTCTTGCCCTGCTGCTTGTGTCATCTCAGGAGTGCCTTCTGCTGGGCCTCAGGTGGTGGCTCTGCGTCCAGACTATCAATCAGTGCACGTGTTTAGGAGCATAGTGCTCTCTGCTCCCTGTGCCGGGGTCTTTAGATGGACCCTGCATCTGACCCGTAATGGCTCGTCCTATTTAAGACTGTGGTGATGTGGTACCGAGAGTCTTTCAGTCATACAAAGTGTGACTGTGCTTAAAATAAACACGAAGCAGACGTACTTTCACTGTAGCTGTAGATTGAACCTTTCTGTGTCTTACCCCGACAAATCGGTAAGGAAGGCTGACTTCTAGACTGGCCTTGCTCCAATGATGTTATTAATGAGCCTGTTCTTGTACTGATAGAACAATTTTTGTAGTTTCTCATGCAAATATTGTCTAGTCTAATACGTGCTTCATGAAATAACAAGCAAAACAGTAGCAGTAGGGTGACTTGTTCACAAGCATCCAGAAGTGCTATTGAGCTGAAGAAATCACTTGTCATATTCATACTGTATCAACTCAGCTGCACAAGTAAGTGCAAACTTCACAACACTTCCAAATAAAAGATGTGCAGAGACATTTCATGGAAGAATTATGCCAATGTTTGAAGTACCTACTTAGGGTGGGGTTTATCTCACCTAACCTTATACATTTTCTCTGCATTAGTTGTCTCCAGCCACACTTCTCTAAAGAAACTCATTTTGTCCCTGTGTCCAAATAGTTTCAGGACCTCTGAGTCTGTTAATCAGGGCTTTGAGTCCTGGTAATGCATGACCTACACCCAAATCTTTCTTACCAGTATGTGGCCAAATGTGCCACTCTTGCAGACCACAGGTATTAGTGCAGTTACATCCTGTCAACTCGGGGACCTCCTGGAGATGGTTTCCATTTACCGCTTCTGTGTTCCAGGCTCAGCTTGCAGCTTCCCACTCTCACAGAAACTGCTTTGGATACATCGTATGCTTGGGAGTCTGCTGTTTCATGGAGCCAAAAGTTTGGATCTTTGATTAATTAATGTTCGTTGGTCCCCATCAATGTGTAGCATTAATTACCCATCTCCATGAAGGAACTTACACTCACTTTTACTCTGTTGTTCTCTTTTTCTAGACACTGTATCACCTCACCCCAGTAACTTTAAGGCTATTTCACCTGAACAAGAGTAGATTACCTGTTTTTTAAACTTCACACTTAAAAGACAGACAGAGATATCCCAGCCTGCCAACCCAGCCTGGATGATAAAGTATCTTTTACATCTATGTGTTTATGCCTTCAGAAGCTCCTGAATGAATTTACATTGTTTATGGAGAGGTCCTAGGTATGTGTTTGTGCAGAGACCATCTGTTTAGTTAACCACTTGGTTTAGATTGCGGTTACCTCAGTGTAGTCCCTGGCTGTAAGCACCTCGTGGCAAGGCACTGGAATTCCTGATAGTGGTGCTCAGTGTGTCCGTCCTTCCAGCAGTGTCCATCCTGCAGCCTTCTCTCTTCATATCTGCACCAAATGCTGCTTCTCTGAGCATCTGTTAATTAGTGCTAGATTTTGCAAATGGTGACATTACTGTTTGCTTTGCTTCCAAGCCATCCCTGGGTAGCCGCACCTCTGTGGAATTGTGTTTGAACTTACTCAAGGTTAGAATAGACATGTGGACCACCTGAAAATGGAAATTACTTACCTAGGTGCTATATGACATATGTACTTTACATACTCAATACTTAGGCTTCTTCCTTATAGTCTCACATACTCTTTTCTTTTTTTCAGATTTTTTTGTTAAGCCTTGTGTGCTCATGGCTTAACACAGGGGGAGGTTCAAGTCTCAGCCATGATCCACTGTTATAGGACAAAAATGTCTCCAACCTCAAGTTCTAGGGCAGCATTAGAACTGATGTTTGGACAACATACTCCTATTATTAGTAACTTTTCCTTGCTCACAGAATCATATCCCCACTTCTGAATAACATGTAAAGCTTGTCAAACTGCTGAATTTGAATGCTTTTTCCTGATTCACTGAGGATACTTCAGCTTGGTGGTCTCAGGCAAGCATGAAAAAATATTACTGCAACTAGCAGTGTATGTATCAGACTACTGAATTGCTGTTCAGAAACAGAAGCCAACTTTTTCTGTAACTGTCAATGATGGAGGATGTAATTTAGAATTAAGTACCCTTTATATTCCATTTGCCTTCATTAAACGTTACACCCTACCTGATGTTTCATGTGTGCCCCTAGGTCAGAGCAGCTGGAAATCTCACCATCTCCTCAGTTCTCTATGCAGTATACTCCTGCTATGCTCCAGTGTGCAATTTGGTTTGGGTCAGCACAGGAGGGAATGTGATTTTTGTGTGGACAAGAATTTAGGACATTATTTTACTTACCCTTCAGGGTGTTCTGGTGGGTATGATCCACTCAGCATTTCCTCATAGTTGAAGTGTGAAGAGTTTGGGCACTGTGCCTGTTTTCAGAAGCAGCTGAGATGCTGCAGCTTTGGAAGAAAACAAGATTCCCATTTATTGGTAACTCATCATAGTTCTGGAGGTATCTGGTCCATTTGAGGAGACAGGATAGCCAAGCTACTCCTGAAGGGAGGTCCTGGAATCTGGCCTGGGATGGGAAGGGCTGCAGCTGGTAAGATCTTGGGCCTGGATGCACCTGGAAAAACTCCAGCTGAGAACACTGAGCTAGTGCAGTTTCATGAAGGAAACTGTAAGTGATGATCTTGTCCTAGCCTTCACCTTCTTCAGGTTGTCATGTTCAGCCTACTTGTTTTTATTTTGCGGTTTACCCTGTACAATCCCAGCTTCGTTGGATGCACCACAGGAGCGTTCTGGGTGGGAGCTTGAAGTTAATGGCTTCAACTCTATGACTAATCCAGGCCTTATTCTGTCATTGCTAGGGGGATGTTGGTTTATTCTCCACAGTACCATAACTGGCGTGATTAGCCCCAAGGATCCATGGTGCACCAGAGAAGTGAGGGCAGTGTTGGGCCCCAGTCTGGGTCAGTAAGAGTTAATGTCAAATACGTTCACTGACAGCCAGTGTTGGGGCTTCATGTGCAGAAGGAAAGAGCTTGTGCTCCCAATAATATGGTGGTTTTTAAAGAAGAGGAATCCTGGGTGCCTGCGTAAGGGAGTATTGCTAACAATGAAGGAAGGTATTTGGCTGTGGCTGGAGGGAAATGTTTGCCTTCCTGTTGGTGGTGTAGGGAGGCAATGGGGTCACAGTGTGTGAATAGGAGCCACGTGATGCATCTTGGCCTTAAAGTCCTAAGAGGGGTTTGGAATTAGGATAGTGCAGGTAAGTCCAGGGGGGCCTTGGATCAAGTTAGGTGATTCTCCTCCCAGCGGAGCTCTGCAGTGGCGCAGCCTCAGCCTCCTACTTGTTCATTTATTTCCTCCTGATTTGGCTGCATTCTTGTTTGCACCATGACTGCTTCAGCAGGAGGTGCCCTCCACCCTTGTACCCCCTCAGTTTACCCTGGTCTTCTGAGGCCTGACAAATGTTGGCTTGAATCCTCAGCAAGCCGAGGAGAATGAACAGAGACCTTCCCTTTCCTGTGGTGTCTAGGCCACCAAGAGGTACAAAATACCACTGCTTTATCTGGGGACGTTTCTGAAGGGAGATAGCTGTGGCTGCTGTGCCTGACTTTGTGCTGTCTGTGTGCTTGGACAGTGTGTAACAAGGTACCTTGGGGACTCAAGGATCCTTAAACCTTGTTTCCATAACCTGATGACAGCTACACTGAATTCCAGTTCAAGTTGAATGCAGAAAACTTGGGAACAGTTTTATGTGTCCATCTGTGCAAATGCCGAAAGCAAGGAACTAAGTTGGGGTATCAGATGCCTTGGATTAAAAACAGTGTTAATAAAGATATTAACAAGGATAACCACACCAGGAAGCTGATGGAAGGCAGGCTGTTGGTGGAAACACGAGTAGCTGGGAACCAACCAGGCAGGCAGCATGCCCTGTGCCAGTGAAAAATGATGCTGCACACTAAAGGTATCCAGAGATCAGTGGGACTGGCTCCAGAGTTGGGTGGGCATTCCCTACCTGTCTACAAGGGTAATGAGCACTAGGACTGTTTTTCTGTTTGGAGTGGTGGTAATGGTGGTAGGCAGATCAGTTTGCAAGGTCAGGAAACACAGTTCAGGGAGCTGCCAGCTACCTCTGTAGCTTAGGTAAATACTGCTTTGGGTGTGATGCCAGAGTTAAAATACAAGACACTACTTAGACCTCTGTGAGTGGCTGATCAGGAACCCACGGGAGGAACAGCAATGCTTGATCTGGGCACGGGCTGTATACATGATCTGGCTCAAAATCTCACCAATAAAGATGATTTACAGCAGCAATCTTCTCACAGGTACAACTAAAGCAGAAAGGATTGCAGCTGGAATAATAAGAATACACTTGTTTGTAGGCAACATGAGGACTACTTACTTAAGCCCACCAATGCAAATCAATGTGACTCATCAAAAAGAGCAGAGCTAAAAAAGGCTTCAGAAAAAGAGTGAAGTTTCATGGCTAAGGAGCAATGCTATGGTAGGTGGGCCATTAGTCCAGTACACATACTATAATGTCCTCACATAGGACTGGTGAGCCTGGCCTTGAATCACAAACAAGAAGAAGAAATACCCTGTGATACATGCTTGAGGTGCTGACAGGGGAGTGACTTAGAGCAGATGGAGAAGCTATAGTAAGTAACTCTTTGCTTACGCTTCTACAGATCTCTGCTGTCCTTACCAAGCCAGACACAGCAGCATTTGTGTTGTAGCTACAGTTACGGTTAAGAGATGAAGAACCACCTCTAATGATGTTCAGTAGCTGCCTGTGTGAACTGGGATAGAAAGGCGTCTCAGCCAAGCCAAAAGTCAGTTTTCTTAGACAAATATTTAAGAGGGAATCTTTGTAGGACTTTACCTCCAGTTAATGAGCTCGACCCAGGCAGTAGCAGCTGAAGTGACAGCTATGGATGGCTCCCAAAATGTCAGTGAATACTAACAACCCATTTAACTGAGCCTCTGGAATAGCATCCAGTTTTGCAATCAAATAGAATAAAGGAAAATACCTTTGTCTAATATAAAATGTGGTGCCTGGGGCCCTTTACAAATCAATGTACTTCCCTTGAAATGACATGGTTATAGTCACAGAGGGTCATTCTGCATATGATGGGTGCTAATTGTACCTGCATATTGTAAAAAGTTAAAGTGTGAAGGAGATTTTGCCAGTTGTACTGACCTCTACATCCTCCAGCTTCGTCCAGGAGATAGCCAGCAGATCCTTGTTCCATTACAACCTATACTGGCTGAGTGATGGAAATCTAATGAAGTGGCAGTTCCTTTCCCTCTGCAAGAATGCCCTTCCCCCCACCCGCTCTCAGCAATGTCATGCCATTCAGTCTAAGTGGAGAGTGGCTGTGTTCAACTTGATTTGCCGTGTTTGCGTGCACTGTCCATGCCTTAAATGCAGCCTCGGAATGGATGTACGAGATCTGTCTGGATGCAGGCAAAAACTAAGAACAAGGTAGTGAGACTCAGCACTGACACACAGTGCTGCAGACTGGAGCTGTTTCAGCAGTACCTCTGAGTAATGGACACTGTGCAGGAATTCAGCCGGAGCTAGAAATACCACATCACGAACATGTAAAAAGAGAAGAGTTTTTATTGATTATATACTGTAGAGCTGACAGTGTTCGAGTCAGGAGAGACATGCAAATAAAGTGTGTGTTTACATTTGGCATGCAGACTAAGAGCACTGTGTAACTGGAAGGAGGTGAGCACCATCTGTATCCACTGCATGGGCAGCCTGGAGAGGAAAGAGCTGGCTTCCCTCTACTGAGCATGCTGAGACAGGGAGAGTTTTGAGAGAGGGTGAAACAGTGCCGATAGCTCTATTGGACACAAAGGTTGTTTTAGGGAAATAGGCAGTACTGTAACCCTGGAAAATTTGTTTAACTTGGATGAGTCTGTGATTATGAAAAGATTGCTTGTATTATTTGTATTGGAACTAAGCTACCCCAGCCCAAATATATGTCTGCAAATACAAAAAAATAGATTTATTCTCTTAAAAATACATTCCATGCAGCCTGGAGTGCTGCTTCCCCAAGGCAGGAGACTGCACTGCATGCTGGGCAGCCTAGCAAGATGATCCTTTGGGTCCTTAGGTTATTGACCATCAGAGACATCTGCAAACAATGCTTCATGTTTCATCACATACAGAGCAGTCCACTGGAGGCTGGCCTTGGAGCAGTACTTTGACCACTCCAATGATGTGCAAGGGTGGCAGAAATGAGGTCTACTATACTAGTGATGACACTAATGTGACTATTGCTTCCATCAGTAGCTAGGAAATTCCTCCTGTCAAGTGTCTCTTGATGCACCACAGTGCACCACCCTGCCCTGTGCTTCCTGCCCTTTTCCCTTCCTGGAGGTACTGTCCGCAAGAGGACTGCGGGTATCCCCTCAGCCGTGTCGGCTCAGCTGCAGTTTGGCGATGCATGGCACTGGTGCTTGCACTGCAAAGCTGTCGCCCCTCCATGCTACCTGGGCAGCTGGAGAGGCGTTGCTCTCTGTGCTGCACGGGTGTTCTGGACACAAAGGAAGCTGCTCTGTGAAGCAGCAAGCTGCTGGCCCACAGGCTGGTGCCAGCCATTCTGGGGAAAGCCACTGACTCTCCAGAAGGGACCAGTGTCTCTGTTTCCTTGGGAGAAGCGAGCACTGACACACTTCCTCTGTACAGCAAATACATTTACAACTTTGGAATTACCCGAGTGCTTGATGCATAGCCTCATGGCATCATCAAGCCCACTGAAAAGCCTGCTATATTTATATGCTAAAATTACAAATACTTCTTCAGTGATGGCAATATTTACACATAGACTCTATTTTACAACTGTTCAAAAAAAGTGTGCAATTTGAGTAAAACACATTGTGTTTCCTGAAGTCATTGCTATAAGTTTAATAATACAATCAGCTCCTATTGCACTCATGATTAGAGGGCATGGCCCCTTTCAATTTTAAGGAGGGTTTTCTTTCTCAGATTTAATCTCAGTTGTGGTAAAAACAACCCAGTGTACAGTTACTGACTGACATACGTGTTCATTATTTACAAGCAGTGAGATCAAGTCTAACGCAATATTTCAAGGTATGTGCTGTAAAATACTGAACAAAGGACTGAGGCAGCTGAAGAAAGGAGACATTGCCTGTGAGAAGCACCTGAGGAGAGCGGAGAGTGCCAGAAGAGCTGCACTGCTGGGTCAGTAGCTGGGGCTCCTGCTGTGTGCAGCTGAGCAGCAGGGTGAAGCCCTCTTCTTGCTAAGGAAAAGTCTGGTTCCTGGCTGACAGAAGGGTAAAACCAACAGCTACTGCTGCTGATGGTTTTTCCCTTGCACTTCAGACATGGGGTTGTGTTATTGGGGTGGGCTGTGGGGTTGAAAGCTGAGGGGTAAGCCAGAGTTTTGTGGGTTGGTACAGGAAGCCTGTGTTAACCCAGCAAGTTGTATCATAGGGATGCAGGGCTTTCCTGGACAGGCCTGAAATCAGTTCTGCTGGAAGGAGCTTTGGAAGCACCATGGTAAGCTGGATCCATGCCAAGAATATGAGGAGGAGAGGGCTGGTGGATGTGTGTGGACACCCAAGTGTCCTGTGGAATGTGGACCACTGTCCTGCAGCAGAATGGGGCTCATCACTGGGAGGAATGCCGTACAGTCCCTGCTCAAAGAGATCCTCGTCCTCTTCAGTGCATGTGCACCATCCGGCTGTTTGTAAAACTAAGCTGCAAGTCCTGGGCAGCAGCGACATGGGGTGTGGGGGTCCCCCTAAATATGCTGCTTCTCTGTGAGACTGAACTGCAGTGCCAAGCAGGTTGTCAGCAGCGGTTCTTCTACAGGGACTGTAACCAGGTATATATTACGTGGCTGGAGAGCTGCTTGACAGCACATTTGGGAATGTAAATAGAAACAAGTAATTTCTGTGATGTCTGAAGAGGCAGGTACATGCCTCCAAGATGCAAACTCGCAGGTGAAGCAAGCATGTACTGCAGGAGGCATTTGGGCGACTCGCAGCAGAGCAGCTGCACTGGCTCAAAGGGGGTTTTGTATGCAACGGATGGAGGAGGACCTAAGGCAGCATATTTAGTTTTGAAGGCAAGTATTTTCTTAACATGAAAACAAGGGGTAAAGAGTCAGACCGTAGTGTCCTGAGGCTAGGAGAGGCTAGCAAGCAAGCCAGCCCCATAAGAGCACTGCTCAGATGTGGCACTTCTGGTCAGGTTGCAATTCTCTATCAGCCGTGGAAAGCCTGCAAGAGTGCACAATGAGGCAAGGGAAGCTGATGCCATTCAAGAAATCAATCTCAGTAATGTCTTGTTTTGTGTGGTGGTGGCGCTGATCCTGCCACGCAGTTAAACTCTGAGCAAAGCAGGGAGCTCAGGGTGGATATTGCAATTTCACAGGCTTGTTTAAAAAAAAAACCCGCCCAAACACCATTGGAGTTTCAGATCGCAAAATCTGCACTAATTTTCAGTACTTCCTGATAAGCATGGGGCATTTCAGAAATCTGAATTTAACTTCAGAATTTCAGTTTCATTCACTTTTAGTTTGGATTCTGAGTTTAAAAATTTTTTCCCATTATACTTGGTATTTATCCCATTCTCTACTAGCACTACCATGTAATGAAATGGTAAGAGATAGCAGTTGATATAATTTATTTTAATATAATTTAAAGATTATTAGAGCTGCCACTTAGTGCTAATTTAAAAGCATTATCTTTTTGTCTTGTTATGCAACTTGACACTTACACGTCATGAAATACAAAAGAATAAAATGAAGGGTTAAAAATATAAATCTGAGAAACCATCTAAAAATTGCAAAAGGAAACACTTTTTTCAAAAACAATTTTTCCCTTCCTCCAAACAATCTTTATTAAAAAAAAAATCAATCATGTCAATGAAACACCTTCCTTTTTATATAAATGTTTTCATAGATATTTTCCAACCAGCTCTGGTTTTTTTTTTGATTGGTTTGCCTCTCAGAATTGAGGCATATAATTCCAAGGGACAGGGAGGAGATACGGCATATAACCGTGCATGTATGGATAGTCACGCACGCTGTCGTGGTAGCTGCTCGTCTGGGAGGTGAGAGGTGGGGATGAGTGTGGGGTGCAACTCAGACATGGGAGCTGCTGGGTCGCAGCTGTTCCCACCACACCTCCAAAACATAAGGAACCTTTTCCCTTCCGCAGCATTGTCCTTGTCCCTCCATAGAGGGGTGTCTGTTTCCAACAGGCAGAAGAAAGCACTGGGGGGGCGGGAGGGGGGGGTGTCAGTGGTGTTTGTGTACAGGACAGGAAAACTGTGGGCCAGCCCTGCAGCTGGGTGGTGAGCTGTAAAGGAAGGACTGGCAGAGCTCAGACTGTGAGCCAGATGCAATCACTCTGCTCAGGGCAGATGCTGCTCCAGCACCTGAGCACCCCTTGGAGCTGTGGGGGCGGTGTCTCCCCCCAGCAGTGATGCCAGCTGCACTCGGTGGCCTGTGGGTACTGACAGGGTCCCGTACCACTGTATTTGAAGCAGTCTCTGACCAGACCTGGATCCTAGACATGGCAGATGGGGTGGTCCTGAAGAGGTAGCTACACCGGAGCTCCACCCTGTTTTAGGAAGGAACAAAGACGTTCTGCTTGTCTGCGAGGAAAAGCACTTGTTTGTTTTTCCCTTAGAGCATAACTGCTGAGATCAAGCAGCAGGGTTGTTGCCTGCAGAGCATGATGGTCATAAAGCTGGTAAAAAAGCAGCCCAGTCCAAGTCAGGAGGAATTTTCACTGCTGCATAAACTGCTGTTGCTTTGGTTCAGTGGATGACTTCTTGGTGCAAGATCTCAGTTGGCAATGAGTAGATCATGCAAAGCTTGTTGCAGAGACTGACAGCAATAGGGAAAAAAGCTGCTTCTAAACCACATCTGCTCTCCTTCCCTCTTAATGTGTAAAGCAACCAGTGGGGAATGGTTTCCTCCTGCCTAGCGACAGAGGGTGATGGGAACACAGGTATGGGGTGACCACAACCCAAGCCAACAAGGGTGTATTGGGAGACTGCAAACTCTGCCTAGGGACTGAAAGCTTTCAGTTGTGGAGCTGTGTAGGAGAGCTGTCGGGCTGGTGGACTGTAGTCACAGGGTTACTTCTGGGATCTTGTCTAAATGCAAGTGATTAACCAGACGTTCTCGCTTGTCCAGGGAGTACCATCATGCAGAGTGTCTGTGCAGTCAAGGTTTCCGTATGGAGACAGACCTAGCATGCTATGGAGAAGACTGAGATTGCAGGTACAGAGATGAGAAGTGGGAGTCCCCTGAGCAAAGTCTCTGCATCTGCCTCTTCATCAATGAAGAAAAATAATTCACTGGTAAAGCTCCTGTACCTTGCAAACTGCATTAGAAAACTGGTTTCAGGCTAGCTGAAGCCTTTGGTGAGGTTACAATCAGGTGTGACGCCCGTGAGCTTGGTACTATCCTGCCTCTTGCTTCACTGTGCAGCGTGTTCACTGAGTGGAAGGCAATACAATTCATCTCCAAGATGTTGTCCAGCAGGCACGGGAAGTACCCTGTAAGAGACAACCCTGCAGCATCACAGACTGTCCAGGACCCACAGCTGCCTCTGGCAGCATTTTTGCTCTGGGGAAGAGTATCATGATTGCCCTGAGGCAGCCATCCTAAAGCCCAAGAGGATCCTAGCCCAATGGTGGGGCATAGGGCAGTGGCAGAATCAGTTTGGAAGATACAGGCTCTGTCGGTGTTTACAGTGGAGTAAGACTAAAGCAGAATGACCTGGCCCTGCCCCACACAGGCAGGGCCTATTACCTTTTCTTATGCTGCAGCATACCCTGCACCCACTTCCACACCCAGCATGTGGATCTTGCAAGTGAGATGCACAGTACCTGACAACACAGAGGAGATGGAGCTGATCTAATGTCAAAGCACATCTCCACATGCAAGGTGTTCAGGCTCCTGTTACAGTTGGTGGAGGTCTGGGCAAGACAGGCGATCCAAATGATGGTGAGTATGTTACAGGGACCTGACTATACCCAAGTTTTCATTTGGTGTTGACCCAGTCTGTGCAGACAAAAGCAGCATAGCACAGCGTCAGGTACAGGAGCCTGCATGTGGCCAGATGAATGTCACTGGGTAACACCTCTTGGTGACCACACCGAACATCGCTGTGGTGTCCCTTTCCTCAGCTACCGACGAGGACAGCGTCAGTTCACTACTCTCTACTCCAAACATTACCTATCTCTAAATGCCAGTCTGCAAAGGTCAGCTGGGACTACATCCCTCTGGGCTCTCAACTTTGTGCAACTTCACCAAGAGGTATGACTATGTAGGGCTCTCAGTTGCCTCACTGCTGCTCTTGTATCAAGACTGAGCAACTCCTGTGCACGTCCAGTAAGAGACACTGATGACAGGTTCAGGTCTTACGATATTTCCTGCTGTGGGTGATCCATAAATGGAAAGATGCACTGTGCTCTGGGCATGTATACAGGCAAAGAGGGAGTCCCAGGAGAAAGTCTTGTACCAACATAAGCACGGCTGCACACCTAGGAATTAAAGTCTGCCTGGACCTCTATCTCCTCTGAAGGGAGCTCTCTCTGAGGAGGCTGGAATGCACATTTTTATCCATATTTCAGGCAATAGGTCATATTCACTATAATGTGGGCCATTTTCCACTTCTTAGTGTGTCCAGAAAGATGTGTTTTAGGAAGCAGAGCAGCAGGTATGTATCAGCAGACAATCACCCTAGTACTACAGCAGTCAGCTGAAGCAGGTAAGTCAAGGGCTCTGATTTTATCTCTCCAAATGTTTTTTCTTCCATCCCTGATTGTCCAATGTGTGCCAGAGGATGACTAGGTGTAGTGCTTCTTATTCCCTGGAGAATGTTTTTAGCCATTAAGCTAGCTGAAACAAGTTTAGAACAGAAAAATAAGGTAGTACTTTTTTACCAGTGTAGGAAATGAGTAGAATAATTTACCAAGGCAATACAGCAGACACCCCACCTCTGGGCAGTACTAATTTAAGCCTGGATTTCTCCTAAAAGGTTTACATTCATTTTGCCCAAGTTCTCTAAGTTCTATTACTGGGAGGTCAGTTCAGATATTGGCTTCTTGCCTTGTAAATTTCTTTTCTGGATGGTCCTTAAACACACATACCTGCTCCTCCACTTGGAGACCTGGTGGTGCATGAGGGCTGGATTCAGGTTCCTGCAGTTCCATCTTGGTGGCTGGCCTTTTCCCTGGTGTGTCAACCTGTGAGAGGTACTCAGAAGAGCCGTACTGTTTTCTTCTGGAACTGGACACGAAATCTTTGCTTTCATCCTGTGTTAAGGAAAGTAAAGAGGGTTGGGTCTCAGGGACTACGAAGGGGTCTAGAATAGCACTAGGTACCTGGTCCTGGGTTGGTAGTGTGAGGTGCTCACTTGAGTCCCTTTGACAAGGAGGGACTTGGGCCACCAGACCAGCTCTGGCATGTCCTCGCTTATATGCTATTTCATAAAGATTTTTTTTTTTTTAACCATCTAGTAATTTTAACCCAAGTTATGGGTGCAGAGTCTTCTGTTCAGCTGTGTGACCTGTGCACAAATCTGTGCTCAGCCTGCGTGGCTCACTGGGCCCAGAGTGCTTGTACCCATGAGGGACTATCAACAGAAAATCCCATGGTTTAATGACTGAAGCAGTTTCTAAAAAGTATTAACTCTGAGTTTTAACTACCATGGGTAGGCTGTGGCCAGCAACCTAAATCCCCCGTTTTCTTGGCAATGAGGATGTGTTGTGGGAGTGTCCTACACCGTGTTCCTGTTATAGACATCTACAGGGCACTTTTAAACTCACTAAAGTTTTCTTGAATGTCTGCAGAGACATTTATGGGATCATACCCTGGGATTCAGATGTCTACTGTCTGCCTTAGGCTAGGGCACTCATGTATTTTACTGAGGCTGCACCCTGCTGTGAGTCATGGGGGTAATGAGTCCCTGTCACCCTGCAGCTCTCTGAGAAGATGGCAGTGCTTTTGATGTTTCTGTCACTGTCTGGAAAACCTCCTTATCCACAAGTTCCAGCACACTATAGGACACCATCACGTCAACATCAGAAACAAAACAAATCATTACAACGGTGAACTTACACTTGTAATAATGTAATCAGCTAGTGGGCAAAGTGTAATAGCTGCACTGCACTACTGAAAGCTTCATCAGCTCTGCTTACATTGGGGATGGCATGTTGCTTGCTGAAACACACAGTGCATGGCCCTGTGTTAGGGCTATGGGTGCTGGTGGAAGAGATTCGGTCCCTGCCCTGTGGCAAAAGGGATAGCAGGGAAGGATGAGGCAGCAGCCCCCGCGCCTGGCAGAAAAGCATCTCTGAGATGGTCGCCAGGCTCTGATAGGCTCTCAGAAAGAAGCTGTGACATCTGGTGGGGCTGGATGGGCAAACATCTGCCCTGAGCTGGCCCTGCTGTAGATGACATCCAGCAAACACTAGACTTGTCCTCCTTGTGATCCAAGCCTTACAACTGAAGTGAGATGTCAGCAGCAGCAGTAGCACCTCGGTGAATAGGCACAACACAGGAAGAGGTCCCACAGCAACCTCCAACCAACCATGGGCCAGAGAGAACCATTGTGGGCCAGGCTGCTCATAAAAGCGAGAGGATAATTTTTATTTAATGAACGGCAGTCATCTTGATGGACCTGGATAGCTTAGCAAGGGCTAGGCACATCTGTATTTCTGATACAGTAGTTGTCTTTCTTTAGAGACAAGGCCACTGGGTGAACATATAGGGCCTCCATCCCCTTGGGCATCTGACAGTGTCAGACTATCTCTGCTGCCAGGCAGCATGACTTTATGACTATCAACCCAGATACACTGGTCTCAAAGAGTTTTGTAGGTAAAGAACTGAGCCAAGGCCATGAGGCTGGCCACCCCCCATGTGTCAGCGATGCAGACCACTACCTCCTGATACTTGCACCAGATCCAGGTCAGTGCAGAGGCTCAACATGCTCCATGGCACCCCAAAAGACAATCAGCTGGTCACTGATGAGCTCCTGGGAAGCTTCTGTGAACAGACTGTGACCCCCAGGATTTGCACAAAACAGGATGGAACCCTTGGATAAAGTTATTGAGGTCCAAGGAAAGATGAAAACACTGATATGGTGTGGCTGGCTGCTTAAATAGGAGCTTATGTGGAGTCATCAAGGGTGAAATGGTGATGGATGCACTTTATATTAGTCCCTAAAGCAGAGAAGAGGCAAGAGGTGGTACATATCTGGATACTGTCAGGGAGACTTCCATGAGACCCACCCACCATGAGAAGGTACATGTAACGTCACTCCAAGAAAAGCCTACCTTTAGGTTTTTACCTAATTTATGCGGCACACAACCCAGCTGCAGTCATATTAATGTCACAGCCACAAGAAAAACTAATCAAGTGCATTCATCTTGCATTGCTGCCTGGTCGCCTGCTCACTGCCTGCCAGTGCCTTTGGACTGATTTGGGCATTGCAAATTTTCAGCAAACATCACACCAAAGTAATGCCGACTTCATTACCTGAAACACTAAGGCCAAGAGAATGACTGCTTGAGGTCTTGCATCTGCTCACGTCTTTTATGGGATCCCGAGAAAGGCTGGCTGCAAGCACGAGAGGGAGCTGGTCCCCAGGCTGCAGCATCCATCCATCAGCACCTAGTGCTTTCTGGGTCTCCCAAAGCAGCGCTCCAGACAGCTGCTGCTTCTGTACCACAAGTATTGCTAAAAGCTGCTGCTACCTCCTGTAGCTTCATCAGGGACATTTGCCTACATCAGCGGTACAAAAACAGAAGGCTGAAATTACACCTTGTGCCTTGGCATCTCCTTGCAAGAATTATTTCCAGGTGCTCAGTTTGGGTCTGTCCTGAAGGACAGGCTGAGGCAGGGGAAGATCCTCCAGCTTGCTTTAACCTCCTGCTGCACTGCAGAAAATGGTCAGACATCTTGAGTTTCACAGCAGAGAAGAAGTTGTATTTTGGCAAAATCAGCACAGACCCTGTGTTTCTCAAATAGGATTCTTAAGGCAACTTCAGACTTTGGACAGTGGAGCTGTAAGAAGTAACAGTGATTCCTTCACAACAAAGCTGAATGTGCAAAGTTAGCACGGATCAGTGCCAAGCCTTCTGCCACAGAAATAGCTACTTCTTTAACTGAAAGACAAATCCCAGCAGAAACAGACTGCTTGTAATATGAGGCGTATTATAAACCTGAATATACCCTTCAATAGCAGAGATTTTGTTTTTTTTCCAAGGGCATATGCAATAATTTGAGCTGCCCAAATACATAAAATCTGGTATATCTGTGTATCTGCAGTCTTTCAGGGTAACTTCATGCTACTCACTTACAAGCTAAAAATATACTTAGAATTCAGATTTGTGACTATGTGGTGCCAGGGAGATTTTATTCCAAAGTATGATGCAGCGAGATACCTAACTCAATACTCAACAGCTCTGGGTGAACTAACCACACAGTTGCTTTCCTGACTGCTTGTCACTGCAGACACAGGCAAGGCTGGAAGCCAACTAATTCATCAGGGATACCCTGGATGACCACATAAAGGTCAGGCTGCTCTGTCAGGTACACTTCAGATGCTGCAGTAGGCACACTGCATAGCTAGCAAATTTGATGTGACAGTGACCTTGAGAACTGCAGAATGTACTGCAGAACTATATTCAGCCCTAGGTGGGCTACTAAGGGGAATATGGGAAAGAAATATGTGAGTATCCACTCTTTAGGGGTCCATGACTGAGCACACATGTGCCCAGTTGTAAGTGGAGACCTCTTCAGCTGTGAGAGTCAAGGTTGTAGGTGCTGTAAATTCAAACTCCTGGGATAAAGGGAGACCCAGTGATGGATCTCCCATTTCCCAAGCATGTAAGCTGCCATTATGTAGAAGGACAAGCTCAGTCATGTCAGTTCTGCCTGGATTCATGAAAGACAAGTACAGACTGCCTGTGACCCATGAGTGGCCCTGGCCAGGGAGGTAATGTATTCTCAGTGTCCAAATGTAGCTGGAAGGCCAACCTGCTCTTTGTAACACCAGGCAATAGATGCTCTGCAAAGCAAAGCAACGGTACAAATTCTTCTGTGTCTCATTGCCAGAGAGGTGGAAGAGAAGTTTTGCAAATGCAGAATTCCTTTCACATCTTCACCATCTCATCTTTGTCAATGTCAGTCATTTGGCTATGAATTTGTCCCCTCTGTTACCAGCCCTGTCAGCTTACTTAGCTGGGCTCCTCCTGGAGACTGGCAATGGCAGCAGCTGCTTAGAGCAGCTCTAAGTAAAGAGCAGAGACAGGAGCTGCAGCAGGAACCAGCATGTGGTTTAATGAACTGGAGGGGCACTTGATGCCAGTGAGCGCACTTGAAATAATATGGTGGAGCCTGCAGCTCTGGTGGCAAGCACAGCTCACCAGACCAACTTGTGTGTGTCAGCCCTGCTTTGAGGGACTCCCCTTACTTGTATCAGTCAAAAGAACAGGAAAAGAGCACAGCCATCCCCGTAGCTCTTGATTCTTTTCAGGTGGCATATTGACACAGACCAAGGAAGGAGCAGCCACGTGTAACCAGCCATCACTCATCTGTTTAGAAGATGCCCAGGAAGCATTTCCAGACCAGTCTGGTTTCACATGGGGAAACCATGGAGCTCTTAGCAAAAGGAGCTTTATCTCTACAGTTACCATTAGTTATAGCTCTGCCTGAGGCACAACCCTATTAAAATCTGCTCATTTCCATCAGTTTTTCATTACTACTCCCAAGTTGACAGTGCCATGCAAAGCCACTCTGAAAAATACACCATGACCTACATAAGCTGTGACTATGTCTTCTCTGATCTTGGCAAGACCAAATGCTACTATATAGTTATTCATATGGCATTACAAGACCCAAGCAGATGAATCTAATTTCAAGAAGTCTAAATCGGGTACTTCACATATGAGATGCTCCACTGAAGATAACAGGAGCAGCACTTCAGGAAATAAGCTGTAAGAATTTCCTGTCAGGCACCCTAAAACTAACAAGCAGCTTGGAAAACCTCATCAACTGAAAGACAAGAGTGTTTAACACAGGATACTTACAGGTAGCGTGGTCTGTTGCCAAGCAGAACCTGCTGTAGGTTCACTTGCATAGCTCCTGCGTGTTTGCAGTTCAGATGCACTTAAGTTACTTTTGGTCCTCCGGGACCCCAGTTCAGGGGCACTCCAGGAATTAGCTGTGGCACTGGTCCTTGCTGAGTTCTGCTCCAGGGAGTTTGTTCTTGCACTGTTCCCTTCCATTTCTGAGAGGTCCACTGAGGACCTGCACATGTTGGTAGTACTGGGAGCTGCACTTTTTTCCACTTTGGTTTGAGAGTCCTCCAGGGAATGTAAGCCTTGTCTTGTTCTCCAGGAACTTCTCACAGTGACATGCTTTGTTTCAGATGAAGCTGCATCTGAAGAGCCATGGCTCTTCCAGCTGATTGTCTCTGAAGGCAGCTCAGTGTTCCTCTCCGTAAGTTCACAAGTCTTTATCATAATGCTGCTTCTGGAAACTACTGTTTCTGCTTTACTTCTCAGCGCTGCCTCTCCACTTCTGTCCATCTCAGATAATTTCAGAGCACTTTTATTTATTGATATCTCAAAGGGTGTGGGGAGATTGTTTGCTATTGGTGAAGGCTCATTTGAAGCAACTCTGATGTTGCTGGTGGTAACGTGCCTTTCCTTTGCTGCTGTATCTGCACTGGTCCTTGGAGCTGTTGGCTCAGAAGGGAAAATTGTGATGCTGCTTGTCATTTTATTTGTTACCATTTTAAAAACAGACTTCTGTTTTTCTGACTCTGACTCTGAAACAGTCCCTCCCATGACTGCCTTCATATCCTTTTCAACAATTGCAGGTTTAATGACAGCTTTTGATCTCAGAGCTTCTCTCGGGCTGAATGACCTTCTGGATTTAAATCCTCCAGTGCTGGCATCTGATGGTTTCATACACTTGGTGGAGTCTTCATCATTTACAATGGTTTTGTCATTTTCAGTAAGTGGTGCTCTAAAAACTCCCCTGGAATTGGAGAACTGCCTGCAACTGACTGTCTGTCTTGTCTCAAAATCTGACTGAGTGGTTGGTTTTTTGCTTCTTCCCAATTCCTCATTTGAATTAAGTTTCTCCTGGTTACTCTGGGTGGTTTTGGAGTCCGTTTTTAAGCCAGCATTTACATGATCCGTTGCTAAAGCTGAAGACTGTTCCATGACTTCTTTATCAAGACCTGTGAGAATCTGTAGAATGTCCTCCTGACTTCTGGAGCGATGTGAACGCTTTGTTAGTGTTGAAAGCTTTGCATTTTCAAGTGATGTGTCTGCAAATTCTTTTTCCTGGGAGATTATTGCTCTTTTAGCCCTCCCCTCCAATGGATGTCTGTGTGATGCAGCAAAAGTGTTCCCTGCTTCTGCTTTAGAGCCAGTGGAGTCCGACGCTGACACGTGGGAGGAGAGGTGGTACTTGTACACCGAAGCTGTGCCGTTGGAAGAGGCATGATTATCCCTGGTGAGCAGCATGTCCCCTGAGCAGTCACTGACTTCTGCCTGACTTGTTTTCAGCTTTTCAGCCAAAGAAGCCACTGATTCTCCTTTGCTTGACTTTTCATCCCGTGTGCCAGCACCAGTTTGGCAGTTGCCACGGAGCACCCGAGATGGCTTTTCAGCCTTGGATCTCAGGCTTGTGTCACCAACAGGTTTGGAAGACACCTTCCAAGATTTCTGCTCCTGTGCAGCAGGAGGATATCGGCTAAGGACAGATGGCTGCTCTTTCGATCTCTTCCCCTCATTCTGCATGACGCAACCTTCCTTCTGACCAGAAGGAAAAGTGAAAACTGAAGATGTCTCTTCCAGTCTTTTTGTATCTGTCACAGTAGTATCTGAAAGGGCAGATACACCAGATGCTTTTCCTGCTTTTCTGTTCATTAAGCTTGGACTGGGCACCTGCTTACCACCATGGCTGTAGCTGTCATTACTGACAGAGAAATCTCTGTTCCTTACTCTTTCCCGGCGCTGCTGTGGTGAGAGCTCCCTTGGCTTGTGCTTGGCAGCTGTCAAATCAGCTGTGACACCTTTGTATTTAGGTCTGTCATGTTTTCCCCTGCTAGAAAAGCTTGTATCTTCATTTTCAACCTCTCCATTCTCCAGATCTTTCTGTTTCTTTATTTGCATTTTTATTTCTTCTAGCTGACCTGTTAAGAGTTTGTTTTTATTCTGTTCACTCAAGTAACTGTCTTGCAGGTCATTGTTTTTGGCTCTCATTTTTTTAAGTTCTTCCTCTAAAGATTCAAAACGTTTGATCTGAGTTTTAAGTTTCTCAATTTCTTGGGTGAGATCTTTCACTTTGTTGTCTTCTTGATTTTTATTCTTTTGGTTTTCTGATTTATTCCTGGTTTCATTCTCTACATGTTTCAGGAAATCCACACTTCCCTTCCTCCTGGTCTCCTTGGAAGGCAATGCAGAAGTCAAGTCATCTTCAATTCTCAAATCATTTCTGTCCAGGAGATTATTTGATGACCTTTCTAGCAAGTTGGATGCATTTCTAGTTTGATCTGCCCTATTTAGTTTATTGTTTTGTTCTAGTTTCTGTGTTAGCTCCTGGATTATTTTCTCATTCTGCTTTTCTCTTTCATTAAAATGTTTTCTTTCAGTGATAAAGCTCAGTGCTAAGGATTTCAGTTTTTCTACCTCGCTTGTTAAGCTCTGCTCGGTTTTATCCAGCCTATCCTCAGATGCTTCCAGTTCTTTCACTTTCACTCTAAGTATTTCTAATTCTGTAGATATCTTTTTGGTCAAGTTCTTTTCTTCATTGAGGCTAAGACACAGCTGCGTACAGTCATTCTTGCTCCTGCCAAAGGCCTCCTCCAGCTTCTCCAGCTCTGCCATTCTCCTCTGAAGGTGTTCAATTTCTGACTTCAGCTCTCGGGTGAGGCTCTCTTCCTCTTCGAGTTTTTCTTTCATTAACCGGCAAAGCTCTTCAGCCTTCCTAATTTCTTCATCCTTGCCTTCGATCTTCAGCACTCTTTTCCGCAGGGCTTCAACATCAGCCAGCATGCTGGAGTTGCTGCCTTCTGCCTGGATAACTTTGTCCTGGAGGTCAAGCAGCTCATCCTCTGCTTTCTGCAGATTTTTGGTTGCTTCCTCCAGTTCATCAAGGCGGCGACTAAGACTTTGCAATTTGAATCGTAGGTGCCGATTTGAGGTTTCCTTGTAACCTGTAAATTCTGCCATGTTTATTTTTTATTCCTTTTAGCTGAAAGCTTTGCTTAGTCGGGGTGAATGGTGTGATCTTCAACACCTTGTGTATTCCTGGTATGTTACAGTTTCTTCAAACAGAGGCAATCTCACCCTGAAAGAAAAATGCTTAAAATCAATATAAGAGCTCAGAATATAAATATTCTCACTGTATAAATTAGACTTTATATAAATAAATATTTAATTAAACAGTGCTAAATTAGGAGAAATGAAACTGCAAAGAGTCACAGTCCATTTACTTTGGTTATACAGGATTTCCAAAAATAGCCTGTTCCCAATAGCTGAGGGAAGAAAGTGCCCTCCTCTGATGGTGGACCCTTACCCCAGTGCTCAAAAGTCAGTACATGCTGCCCATGTGCAAGCTCTTGGGCTTCAGAGGTTCATGCCCATACCGGACTCAGGCCCCTATACACAGACAAGCCCATGCAGCAGACACCTCTCTTTTCAGCACTACACCAGTCTCCTGAAGATGCTTTAGAGATGTAGATTCAGGAACCATACCAAGACCTGGAAACTAGAAAATACAACCTCTAGGCATTTGGTGGCCCCTGAGGAGGGTGCAAGCCCCCACACACCTGGCTCGACGGTGTGAGAGCTGCTGCCAGTCGGTACTACCCATCATTGTCAGTATCTCTCCTGCAGACCAGGCTGCTCAGCAGAAATTTTCAGCTGGGTTGTAGTCACATCCTGAGGACACTGTGCCAGTGGAGTTTTAAGTTTCTCCCTCCTGTTTCAAAAGCTGTCGTTGCCCTCGGCTGCCACCCACTTGCCCACCCAGGAGATGAGCAGTTGCAAATGCTTACGCCTCTCCTCCCTGCTGCCACTGACAATGAGCTGTGATTGTAACACATGGGCATGTTCTCACACACTAAATGTAGATCTCTTCCCAGCTTGGCTCAGATGTGGCAGGGCTTTTTTTAAACAGCCCCACTGTGCTCGGCAGAGAATAGCAGGGAGGGGGACCCAAGTGGCCCAGTATGGCTGCTGGGAGGATATAAAGTCTTTCTGGTGCGCAGCATCAGCATCATCCTGTCCTGGGCCTGAGGCACATCCCCAACATGTGCAAGAGCTACTGTAAAATTGAGTGGAGGGGGATGACTACAGCTTTTTGACCTGCGCCCTTGCTCAGACTGTCTGCCTCGAAGCAGGACTTGGCCTCCAGCATTTTTGTGGAGCTCTCTGCAAAGGAAACACTCAGGAGTTTCCTGTTTCACAGTGCCAAGAAGCGAAGAGCAGGATGTGGGGAGGAGACAGTGCCAGTAAGGAAGACTGCAGCACCCCAACATGGAGCCTTTGAAGGCGATTAATTTCCTGCTGGGCCCAGCCTGCCAACAGGCACCCCCCTCGCAAGGGACCTCACTCACCCTGGAGGGGGGTCACCAACCTATTTGCTTGGTCTTACGCACCCCAGGCAGCTGAAAGGAGCACCAACAAAAGCACCCAGCGAGGAACCCCAGCACCCCGTGCGCAGTGGTGCGTGCCTGGCCTTGGCCACATGCCTGTCCTCTCCCTCACCACCACGATCACATCCCACTCCTGTGCCACACTCCCTCATGCTGCCCACAGAATGTAAAGGCCACGTGGGCCATGGCCCGGCTGTGCGGCTGTCTGCAGGCAGGAAAGACTGTTCAGACTCCAGCAGGATCCCACTGAGAAACGTCACCAGAATGTTGCAGGAAAGGCCAAAGCAAGCATTGACCTAAAAACAAATTCCTGTCCCCAGCAGGCCTCAGTGTGGAGTTAATGGTTAACCCAGCATTGGACATTGGTTGGGAAGGGAGAGCAGCCTCTTCCCCAGGTCACAGCTGGAGGAAGGTGATGCACTGCAGCACAGCTGGTGTGCAGTACTGGTTTTCAGGCCACAGCTCCTCCAGGCTGTTTCTGCAGAGCTCAGGGGAGAAGGCTGAGTGTGGCCTGCGAGCAGCACACCAGCCTGGAGAGGGGCAGCTCTGCCAGTGGGACCAGTCTCACAGCCCCCTTCGTGGGAATGGGTGAAAAATGGAGAGCTACCCTCACAGGCTGGTGTGCAGAGGGGTGAGGCTGAGGGGCCACTCTTCCCTTTCCTCCTTCTTCTACATCCCAAATATTCCTGCAGCATCAGCTACCACCTGGATTGAATAGGACCCCTGCCTCTCATACGCTCAGTGCCCTGGGGAAGCCCCACCCTGGAGGCCAGTAAAGGCTCACACTCAGTGAGCTTGAGGGTACAGAGAGGTGACCTTGCTCTGAAGACAACTGGCTTCTGCAGACAGAAGAAACAATCACCCCAGGAAATGACCTAGGGTGGTCCAATGCAGTATCCACCAGGAAGGAAGAGGGTTATGGGCACAGATCCCTGGGAAGGGACCCGGTATTGCTGGTGAGCCACCCATCTTGTTGCTCTACCAAATCATGCTCCTAAAGTTGGTTTCTAAAGAGTCTGGAACATGGCTAGTAACAGGCCTTTGTGTCTGCACAGGATAATGCTGGGTGGAGAGCTCAGTGTGAGCCATGAGTCAGGATTTGGACCCTCTGGCTACATTGTCACAGCTCATAAAGAACAGGAGAGGGATGTTGAGACTGAGTTACTGATCTCCTCTGTGGATGTCAGAAGCCCAGATGAGAACCTGATTTAGGAGGAAACACACAAATCTCCAAATGAAGCAGAAAATTGAGCTCAGTAATTAATTGCATGAATGAATTAGCAGTGGTGTCCCTTGGGGTCTGATGATGTTTAATGTCTTTATTAACAACAAAGATGATGGGATGGAACACGATCTCAGCAGGTTCATGGATAATACTAGACTGAGAGGTGAGGGGAGAAGCATGGCTGATACACTGGAAGGCAGGGCTGCTATTCAGAGGGACTTTGACAGGCTGGAGAAAGGGGTGGACAACAGCCTCAGCAAAAAGAAGTCCGAGTCTTGCTCCTGTGGCACTAGGACAGACTAGGGATGATGGCCAGAAAGCAGCTTCACAGAAAAGGATCTGGAGAGTCCTGGAGAATGAAAAGTTGAACAGAGGTCAGCAGCGCTTCCTTCTGTCCAAGAAGGCCAATCATACACTGGCCTGTTTCAGTAAATGTGCAGCCAGCAGCTCAAAGGAGGCAATCCTTTCTCTCTAGATTGTCTCTTGTGAGGTCACATCTAGAGTGCAGTGTCCAGTTTGGGACTGCCTGGTACAAGAAAGACACAGATGTACTGGGCTGAGTCCAGCACAGGCCACCAAAATGGCCATGGGCTGGAGCAGTGGACATACAAGGGGACACTGAACTGAAATTACTCAGCCTGAAGAAGAGAAGGCAAAGACCTTTTGCTGCCTGCAGCTACTGAACGGGAAGGTGTAGAGAAGACAGTCAGGCTAGTCTCTGAGGCACACAGTAAAAGAAGCAAAAGATACAAGCTGCAAGAAGAAAAATTACAAGTAGATATTATGACTTTTTTCTTTCCTCCCGCTACCATGAGAGTGGTCAAACACTGGCACATGGTCCCAGAGGAGCTGTGGGACCTCCATCCATTCAAGTACTCAGAGCAATAACAGGGGCAGCTGGAACTTCCCAGTACCTCCCCAGCTGACATGATTTGCCTCAGGAGATGAAAGAAGCTCAATGTAATTAGCTTAGTAAGGAGAAGAAAGAGATGTAAAGCAACATCTTCTACAAACAAGTATGATGAGAGAAAATACCCACGAAAAGTCTTCTAGCAGAAAGCCCTTTAAATTCCTGGCATATCCAGAACTAACCCCAGTGCTTAGAAACAGAAGCTAAACAAATTAGTATTACAAATAAAGTGCACGTTTATAAGAATAAGGGGAATCAGCCAATATAAAATACCATCTTAGATGTAGTTGCTGCTTTTAGCTGGTCATGCTTTGAGTGAGGACTGGAACCAGAGACCTCCAGGGGTGTTTCCAACCTAAATTCCTCTGGATGTTCATGACTGTTCTTCTCCAGTCTGTCACTGATACCAAAATATCAGAATGAATGGTGAAGGATTCAAACACTGGCACTATTATTAATGCTAATTAATATTGTTGGGGGATATTTAAACAGGACTTGTTAAATAAATCTGATAAGGCAATAATTTGCTTAGCTTGTAAAGGTACTGAACAATCTGACATGGATGTATAGACTTTAGATTTCTCTCTCTCTCTCTCTTTTTGGAAAGCAAGCAGTTCTTATCCTAGGTCTATTTCACATTTTTAGCAAAAAACAGGAAGAAAAGAAGATGATAATTTTTCACAAATAGCAAAAAAACTGTGGCAATGGCAAATATAATAAGGACGGCTCAGTTAAACAGAGATATCTGAGTCAATGATAAAGTGATCAAAGATTCTGAAGGGCTGTATCCTGGAAACACTAAAAAGGCTTAGATGGTCACACCAGAAATCTAATCTACAGAAGCAAATAAGATGTACTGATGTACTGCTGCAGCTCAGAGGCAGACCCTCTTGACTATATCAGAAGGAAATACCGAATAGAAGTATGACAGTAGAAATGACATTATTTTGTATGCAGTACTGGACTGCGTATTTACACATCCCAGTCTGACACATCTCACCTTGCTTAAGCAGTGACACAGAGCAAGAGACACCTACAAATCACTCTTGAGTCTTCTAGATTCAAAAAGATGCTCAAGTGTCTTCATCTGGCCTTCCCAAGGAGACAGGACTTTCCACGTGAGGAGATGAATCACCCTTTGAGGTATTGTACTCTGCTCACTGATGATGAAGGGAACCCAGAACCTAGACATGGGCTCAGGCACAGATAACGAGACAGCAGTCGTCTCCCCTGGGAATGATGCCCCTCTCTCTCCAGGGGCCATGCATCAAAAACACAACCTTAAACTTTGGGAAAAGCTCAGGAAAGTTTTAGGAAAGCTCAGAAGAGTAGTCATGAGTGCTTTTTAACCCTTTAAAACTCTAAGAAATCACTGATTTCAACTGAACAACAAGGGCAATCCTGCATTAAGCGAAGAGCCACAATAACAGCTGTTTGGATTTGAGTTTTTGAAAAAATGCCCTTCTGATGAGACATGTAGGAAGCCTGGGGAATCTCAAACTTTCTGTTATTCAAAGCAAATATCAAGGCAAAATGTGTGGCTAGTAAATACCTAC